TGAGAAGCATACGACGATCAAGCATATGAACAAATAAAGATTAAGCTAAATTCGAGGCAACTCCAACATGATCCATTAGTCAAAATTCACATGCAATAAAGGAATATAGGAGAGATTGATGGTGAATCACTTCTAGATTTGGGAAAAAATTTATAAAACTATCTATAATATAAAAATCCACCCTTAATTGAGAAACATGCAATAAATTTATTCTAAAATACTGACTTAGCTTTGTTGGAAGTCAATAAATTTATGTAGTGAAGACTTGCTTTGAACATAATGAATGAGTAGGTGAGAAAGCAACACACATTCTCTTATTTATCTATTATGTATGAAACATCAAAATGGATCTAAGAAAATGTGTCTCTTCTTAAAAAGAATAAAAAAATGCTGTGAAGATCCAAAATGGAATAAAAAATAAAAAAAGAGCTGACATTTGAAATCATCTTAAGGATTTTGTTTGGACAAAAAATATCATTCAACCTCTTTTGATCACTTATTTAAGTTAGAAATTTCATTCTATTTAACACCCCTTTTTACACACAGCCCCAAAATTAATTGGTTATTTAGTTGGGGTAATTTCTTGTATGAATTATTTTAACTACTTAAGTTTTAAAAATATTAGTGTTGGTTGGATAAAATATAAGTTTAAAGCCTAAAATTTTGTATGGAACAGATTTCTTGCTGTTTTTTGAAGCAGCTTTTTAGTATAAAAATATTTGAAACTAGAAAGCCGTTTTAGAAAGCAATAAGAAGGCTGTTTCAAACGAAGCATAAATCTCAGCTGATTTTTAGTTTATTCTAAAATTTTAAAATCGCATCTTCCTCACCTCTAACATCCATTTATAGTTGGTCATCGCTTTTGATGGCCATTATTCACCAGCTCCCCACCAACTGTCATTCCACCACCGACCGTTGCCTCTGCTTGCCACCACCCGCTACCAATTATTACTATTGGCAAATATAAAAAAAATGATGAACTATAATTATTTTACACTCAATCAAATGACTCTAAAAGTATTTTGAATGCTATAAATTTACTTTGCATTCGATAAATCATCAAAAATCAATTTGATTAGGCATATATATATATATATATGCGTGCTAGAAAATTTGAGTTGGTAGAGTGTATATTTCACGTCTTAGCGGCGTATAAAGATTCAACACGAATATATAAAAAAGGTAAGACCATATAACTTTTTACATGAAAAACCTTGATATTGAAAAAATCACATGGCCTAAACCTATTGCAAAATCCACTATGTAGTAAGTGATACAAAGATCTTCCCTTCTTCATTGTTAAAGAAGAGGAACAATACAAAGATCAAATATTTACATCTAATAACAAGATTTAATCTTCCTAGGAGCAATTTTATAAAGTTTTCACAGACGGATAAATAAACCCAATAACAAGGTAAAATCTTAATAATAATTAGGAGATGACGGTGGTTGTTGGTGGTAGTAACTGGTGGTTGTCGGCAGCAATAGTTAATGGTAGTCGGCAGCGAGATGGCTGGAAAATGCTAGAAAGCTTTTCTTTCTTCTCTTCTTCTTTTCCTCATTTGAAGAATGAAGGTCTATTTATAATTTTTGGAGTGACATGCATGCTCAATAAATATGGAGAATATCCAGGATAAAATTGGAGTGTTCTATTAGATAACTCATAGTAATTCCTTTGATCATAGAACTTTCATCAAGCATTTAAATGACTTAATGACGTCTAAATTGAGTGATCTTGAGCTTGTTAGATTCATCTCATTGAGCCACTTGATTCTACTATAATCATATCATGTTTGAATAATAATTTGTCATCCAATTAATGCTTTTAAGTTTTCAAATAAGCTTCAATCCTTTAATTCAATCCCATTTGAACTCGGATTGGACCAATTTTGATGTCATCGGGTTCGTCTTATCGAAACGTTCAATTTGATAATACGTTTGCTAAGATCACTGTTCGGATGATCACAAATTAAATTTTAACTGTTTTCAATTCAAATATGCTTTGAGATTCGTGTAAAATCAATGTGATTTTTGGTGATATATATATATAAGTTTGAATCTAAAACCTAAAGTAAGTTTGAATCGGATTGGAAATCATTTTGGAAGTATCACTGCCGGTGATTAGGCTAACAGTACACGCGTTTTCCAAGAACAGATAATTGATTTAGGACTAAAGCATATTATTTAATTTCCTGCCCTTTTTCCCCCTTGCTTCGTCTAGAATTTCTATAAAATAATAAATAAAAAAATTCTACGCTCGTTTTTCTATTGATTTATCTTAAATTGACTACCTAAGTTAGCTCAGTTTTTATAAAACTTAGCTCAAATTTATCAAGACAAAGAGAGTTTAGAGAGAGAAACTAAAATTTGTATTAGATTGCGAGTGACAAGTATACAAATTGATACGAGCTCCTTAATCAGGATCTTTTCAGAATGATTTCTTAATTGAGATTTCTTTTGGGACAATTTTCTAATTACTCAAAAAAAAAATTTTATCAAAAGTTTTCCCAAACAAAATCTAAATCTTCAACAACTTCAGTCCAAGCTACCAAGTAGTTTAAAATGTTTGTATTACCTCAACAGTAGAGTTTTACGAGTCAATACATAATTAGCGAGCAATTAGCCATAACAATTTCAATTGTCAAGTTTATCAACTTCCTTCTTCCCTAAGCTTTTAACTCTATCATGAATTAAATCTATTTTTAGAGGCTTGCCGACTTGATTGAACTAATTTATGACGGTAGTATAATTTAATTAACTCAGGTTTCATTTGAGACTACTTTCTTACTGCTTTCTAAAGCAGCTTTCTAGTACAAAAATTTATAATTCACAAAATTATATATATAAACCTACATATTAACATTTATCAATGAATTTTTTTTTTGAGACATGTAGGTCAATTAAGACAAATTTATGCACACATCACATACACAAAATTGGAACCCAAAATCTCTTAGTTGATAGTCAAAACTCCCTATCAATAAACCAGAATAAGCTACGTATAACATGCTTTAGGCTCCGTTGTGACGACTTTTTCATTGAAAACTCTGTTTTAAGAAGCAATAAAAAAGTTGTCTCAAACAAAATTTTATTATTTATTGTAACACTATCATGCAAATATAATAGTTCATTATGTCAATGTCAAGTGAAGGACTGAAGGAACTAATGAGAAGTCATAAGGACGCGTTAACTTGTGACCCCGTACTAACTAACAAGGCTAGCTTGCAGGACCCGCATGCCAAATCAAGACATCAAATCCCTCGTTATTTTCTATTAGCTGGCAATTAGAGAAAATGATCCTACTTAACAAAGAAATTTTTTTTTGAACTAAGGAAAGTTCAAGTCTTCAATATGTTGGTTAAGGAGTGTGAACTTGCAGACTTGTAGATGTGAATGGAGTGAAGAGAAGGACAAATCTGCGCGTTGGGCTTTTCCTTATATCTCGGTGCTATATGATATGAAATTTTTTTTATGTGTTTTTATTTGAATGATTAAATAAATTTATTTATTTTTGGAATATGCTTATTCTTTTTTAATGAGCAATTTGTTGATTTTTTTTTATAAAAGGATCATTTTGTGATATTTTTCTTATAGTTTATTCTATGTTAGTGTAATTTTTTTTGTTAATTTTATTATTAGAAATATTGATTAGAAAATTAATCCTCTCAAACACGAATTTCGATGCAATTATTAAATATGTGATAGAATAATTGAATCTATAGAATATTAGCATATTTTACATCACATCAATAAGGATCAACTCGATTAGTTTTCTTTTACATTATCTTCAATGTCCAAAGCGAAGTCTTAAGATTCTTGGCTAAAATTCATTTGATGATGACTCTAGCCCGATGAAACACCAAATGAAACTTCTTTAAGAAGCCTTAAAAAATCTCTATCACTATATTTGGCGTTTCATGTCCTTCGCTTCAATAAACAATGATATGATGTGGGTCTCTTGAAGTCTTCTACAGGCTACAGCCATCAAATTGTTTCTTAGTTTCAGCTTCTAGGAGGAGGACAATCCCTTTCCCATGAGGATTTCTATGGACTTCAAGTTTAAACCTACCTTCAACTTTTGATTAGCTACGATTAACCTCTTGATATTGAGAGAGATTCGTAAAACCACAATTTAAGTTTGACGTCTTATTTGTTGAATCTTTAGAGTTCTTATTTCTAGTTATAACATTTAAGCTTCACTCATACTCGATCTTCACAAACTTTGAGAGGGGTATCCAATCAAACATCAAGCTTCATGTTTAATCGTACATGATTGATATATATATATATATATATATACCTACGTCAGAATAGAGTAGTAAGAAAGTCATAGAAGAATATAATGACAAAAAAAAATTTCATAAAATTTTAATGACTAATGTGATCGATGAAATTCATCATAGAGGGAAACATAAGAATTTTAGCAATAAGATATCCAAAATCAAAGTTCTCTCAAAAATCAAAATGAAAGAACTTTGTAAGAATTTTTTTTTGAGAGAAACATACATATGGACATACTCATCCAAAAAAAGGGAAAAGAGCAAAATTTTAAAAAAAAAAAAAACTAGCAATATAATTATTCAAAATAGAAAAGGTGTTGAATAGTAATGAGGAACTTTATTATAAGCAATAACTTATAAGACTTTGACTTCGTTTGGGACGGCTTTCTTACTGCTTCTTAAGATAATTTTTTAGTTAAAAAATAAAACTTTTTGAACTAAAAAATTGTTATAAAAAAGATAAAGAAAGTCGTCCAAAATGAAGCTTTTATTTAAATAATTAGCATCCTATGTATAAAAATATCATATTTAAAATTTAAAGTTCAATAATATTTAAAATTTGATTGTACCTATAAAAAATGAAAAGAAAAATAATTTTGGACAAAACATATAGTTTTTTATTTTTTAATTTTTGTTTAGCCTCCACTCTCCTTACAGAGTTCACTGGTCCATCCCTACCTATATATATCCATGTCGAGGCATTTCTTCAAGCAATAACTAATGGCGAATCTCCTTCTGCTTCGCTCCAGTGGCGGAGTAAAAAAGCCCGCGCTTTGGCGCCGGCGATTGTTCGAGTGCAAGACCTGTAGCCGTAAATTTCCTACTTTTCAGGCGCTCGGAGGACACCGGACAAGTCACAACAGGCTGATAAGAGCTGGGAAAAAGCTCGAGCTGGCAACGTTTCCGGAGAGGAAGAAGGTACATTGCTGTCCTGTTTGTGGAATGGAGTTCTTGATGGGGCAAGCGCTGGGAGGGCATATGAGACGGCATAGGCGCGACTCCGACGCTGCGACAGCGGCGGCGGTTGATCGGAGGGTTGATGTCGAGGACGAGGAGAAGAAGGCGGTGTTGTTTGATCTCAATTTGCCACTCAGGCCTGTGGAGTTTTTGTGGGAGGAGATTCCCCTATTTCATTTTTTTTAGATTAGTCTGTGCTTACAGAACATTTTTTTTTTAATTCTATCACAGTGTTAAACAACCAAAATTAGTTTTTGATCATTTATCAGGAGGCTTGCTATCTACCTATATATATTCTTCGTATTGTTTTCATTAATCCATCAAATTAATATAAATCTAAGATAACAGAAAGCCACTATTCATTTTAAAAATATTGTAATGAAGGATCACAGACCGTTAGCATTAACACCGTTCTTATGATGTTGTTGCAGTTTACAGGAAGAAGAAGAGGCCTTGGATGATTAGTTCTGCTGGCACTGCTTGACTGCTAAAAGACTGAAATCTCAATAAAAATATGATTGAAAACTATTTCTCTTTAATCTTTTAAATGAATTTAATCATTAATTCGTACATCTATTGCTTTTCTTGGTCAGTAAATGCTAAGGACTAAGAGAAGAATAAACCAGAATCATCAACACATAGCAACATGAATGAATCAAACATCTATAGCTTTGCTTGTCTTGGGTGAGATTGTTAAGGCTTAATCTTTATGGTTAATACTTTGATTGTTAAGGATTAATCCTAACAAATTATCATATGATGAAACATGGGTTCATTTCCTAACAAGTTATTTTAAAATGAAAATCATCTTGGCCATCGCTCGCTGCCACGAACCACAGCTCCCCACCACCACCAGCTCTCATTGCCCCATTCAATTCATGCAATATTCAATAAAACCTAAAAAATAATAGTTATGGGTAATAGTGAGTGTCACTCACCTTAGTTCGTGGAGTAGCACAAATATATCTACGTACACCATAGAATCATAACAACCAAATAAACATCAACCTTATGCTTAAGAGTACAACTTTTTTCTAGTCCTTACATACACTCTTTTACACAATAAAGTGTAAATGGTAATTTCAATTAACCTGATGTATTCTGCTATTGTTATAATCCAAAAGATAAACATATGCAACATTAGTTTTTTTCATGGAATCAAAACCGTGATACCTTACTGTATATACAGTATGGAGCGGTCTGCAACTTCACAACTCGACGACGGTACACAGCTCCAACTCCTCTAATCCTCACATCTCTTCTTTTCTAAAATTTGTCATCTTCAATATCAAAATCATAGTTCCCACACAACTCTCAAATGATACATACTCCATATGAAAATCTCATATTCTCAAGCTTTTTTCAGCCAATGGGTTCTTCGGATTTCTCTATAGTACTACCGCAATACATCCATCTAACATTTCCAATCCATATTCCACCATTAGTATAAACTTTGCTTACATACAATGACTTCTCATCGACCAAAATCTGCAAGCTACTCTATGCTCCACTCTTACCTCCTCCATTCTTCCATATGCTCATTATCTTAACACCTGCTGCGACATATGGAACACTTTAGAACACCGTCTCCAGGCCACAAACAGATCACACGTTATACATCTAAATAATGAGCTACACAACATCTCCATGAAAAACTCATCCATGGTAGCCTTCTCCACTCTCCCTCAAAATGCATGGTGCTTCATCTCACCTTACATCAAGCATTGAAATTTTTATCCAACCCACAACCAACACAGGAGCTGATCAAGTTACTGCTAGAAACAGTAATAATACTCACATATTTCATACCGGATAAGGCTTACTACCTCTTCCTACATGTAAGTTATTGTTATCTCAGCTTCTTCATACTCCTCATATCTCTCATAGTCTACTCTCAATATACAAGCTCACTTATGATAATAACCTTTCCATTTATTTTGATGCCTCGAGTTTCAAAAGTATTGATCAGCATCATAACTGTATCCTTCAGGGACCCGCCCGTAATGGCCTAAACCTGTTGCATTCCTCTTCTTAGTCTGCTCCCAAAGATCTCACCACGTCTCTCTCACCCGACCTTCACTAGCACAAATATCTCGACCATCCTCACATATGAACCACATCAATTATGTCCAGAAACAATTTGGAGCTTCAAATTCTAGCTTAATTATCTTCATGTTTTTCTTGTATGGCCTCTAAGAGCCACAAGTTATCTTTCTTACCTTCTAGCAATCACAAATGTATCTCTAACTCTCTTACACTCTAATGAATGGGTCCCTCCCCAACTCTATCTTGTCATGGATACAAATATTAGTTACTGCTTATTGATGATTTCTCCCGTTATGTATGGTTGTTTCCAATGAGAGGAAAATCAGAAGTTACACATTTTCATTCAGTTCAAACAACTTACTAAAAAAACAACTTTCATCTTAAATAAAATGTATTCACATTGATTGTGGTACTGATGTCGAATACATTAATCACTCTCTTAAATCATTTTTTTAAACTCACAATATTCTTCACCAAAGTAACATACCATATACCCCTGAACAAAATGGTCTAGTTGAGCGCAATCACCGCCACATCATTGAAACCACATGAACCTTACTTCAAGACGTCGATCTTCCATATCATTTATGGCCAGATGTAATTCTCACAACAGTGTACTTAATCAAATGCAAAATCACGACATAAACACAAATCATGACATAAACTTTTTTTTTTAATCAACCACCATCCTACAATCACCAACGCATCTTTGGATGCACATGCTTCCCATGATTTTCGCCATCCACCAAGCAAAAATTATAACCCAGATTCATTTTATGTATCTTTCTAGGCTATTCATACACACACAAAAGATATAAATGTCTTGATCAATCCTCAAGCAAAATATTCATGTATCGACGTGTATAATTCAATGAATCCATATTTCCATTTCTCCGACCACCACAAGTTAAAAGTCTCAAGCCCACTTCCCCTAATCCTTTTCTACTCACTCCCACTTCATGCTCTTCCATATCCTTATTACCTACATATCAACACTCCCAAACACCAACTGCCAAAACACCTCCATTATCCATTACTCATACTTAAATCAATCTCCCAAAGATCTCACGACGTCTCTTTCACCCGACCTTTGTTGTTACGAGCAAGGGATTTCATTTTGTTTGAATAGTCAGCATGTTATGAAAATCGATTGATATTATGATCAAATTGTTAATATTATTTTCATTCAATTTATTATGGATAAATATTTTAAAAGAAAAGTTGAAGGAAATGAAAAAATGCTTTGTGAGAAAATAATACACAAATCAAACAAAGACGTGCAAAAAAAATTTTTAAAGGATATCCCCGCCGATTCTGGATTAAATTATTTTTTTTATTATCATCCTAATTAGAGGGATAGTGTCAGGAGACATTAATTGTTGAAATGACTGTGTCAATCGTATGATCATGTATTCCCACGTTAACTATTTGGAGATAAATTTTGTAGATTTAACCCTGCATAATTTGATGATCATAAAGTTTGGTTAGAGTATAGTATAATCAAGGATGTAGCTTACTTTTTTTTTTAATATGTATAGACCTCATATTAGAGAACATGTTTGCGATGACAATTTCGATATAAAGGGTTTTTAGAAATTGAAAAAAAAAGATATATTTCATATTCATGTTGGTAATATGAACTGTGCATACAACAATGCTAAATGAAAATGTGAAGATTTAATGAATGAAGAGAGGTATAACGAATTTGCTTTTAAAAAACATTCTGAACAAAATCACAAAGATTATCGTAAATGATTAAATGCAAGTATCAATTGTGTACGCTTTCTCTTACAATAAGGATTAGCATTTCGTGGGCATAATGATTCAGATGATTATGATAATCAAGAAAATTTTCTTGAACTTCTACACTTTCTTGCTAACCACTATAAAGACATAAGTAAAATTATTTTGGATAATGCTCCTCGCTCCATAAATCCAAAAAGAAATCATAAAAGTTACTGTATTTGTGGTTTCAAATGTTATAATCAATAAATTGAAAATTGATGTATTCATAATTTTACTTAATGAATCTCAAGACTATCAGTAAAATAACAAGTTATTGTTGCTTTACGTTACATTAATACACGATGATGTGTTATTGAGCATTTTATTTGGATTGTTCATATCAATAACTCTTACACTAAAGTTGGTCATTGAAGATTAATGCGTCGTACGTAATGTATAACAAATAAACATCATTATCAAATCGAATTATTCTGCACTGTTATATATCTACAACTTCAGGAACTCAATAACATATTTGATGAAATTAATACAAAATTACTTATATGTGTCGCATATTTGAATATATGTTAGTCATTTTTCAATTTTTGATACAAAACGATGACCAAATCTAGCAAAATTTTATGAGTCAGATTTTTCAGAATATATATCATCATATTAGACAATCAAATTGAAAAATTTTATTATTGATCTAAGATCGAGCAACGCTGTTCTGAATTTACAATAACTTGGAGAACTTTGCTTAGAAAATAGTGAAGACTCCAAAAAATGATATTTATCTTTAAGTATTCTTACTTATTAAACTTGCTTTTATATTGTCAATTGCTACAACAACAATCGAACGAGTATTTTCTGCAATGAACATTATAAATAATCATTTACCATATCTTATGAGAGACTTCTAGATGAAATTTTTTTTGCTTATATTAAAATAACATATATTTAAAAATATCAACAATGAATTTCTTTCACAACGTTTTTAAAAAATAAAAGCTTAGAGAAATTATAGATGATAAAAACCTATATATCCACGTTTATGTAACCAAAACCTTACTAATTAACCCAAAATACGTAAAATTGTACTCAAAACATAAAAATATTTAAGAAGCTATTAATAAATTGTATTACGAATTGTATTGACACTATTAATTTGAACCACTGAATTGCGGGTGGGAGGCCCGCTCGAGAGAGTTCTGCAAAAGTAAGCAGCGTCAACACCCGGCCAGCCTATTTCCCCTCCATAAATTCTTGCGCCCAATTTTGGGTTAGCGCGGCGGGCAGTTCCCACCACCCGCTTTGTTTTCCTTACTCATTAGTTTAAGGCAAATTTTAAAGAAGGAGAGCAACTTCCTTATATACCAAACAATTCTTCAGCACCAAATGGATTTTTCGATGTGGGACTAAAAACCGACCTGCATAGTATGGCTCCTATTGTTGCTGATTTCGGGTACCGATGGGCCAAAACGAAGAAGTTAGTTTGGCATCTCCTCCACGTCTGTGGTGCTCCGTGGTCGCCGCAGTGCGCCGGGAGTCCTTTGGGTGTTTTGGCCAGACCAGGAAGCTTTACGTGCTGAAACCCTAACGCGAGACTAAAAAAATCGGAGTTCGTACTCCGTTCAGTTTGGAGAGTGAGAATTAATTGGTTTTAATTCTGTTTATTTGTCGGAATAAATTATTTGTGAGTTTTTCTTTCTGGTTGTTTTTTTAGCTTTAGTTTGTGGGGCATTTTGATTCTGTTTCATTTGAAATGTGACATCTGCTGTTAATTGCAAGGTAAAAATGCAATTTTTTTTCTGAGACATTTAGGTCAATTAAAGCAAATTCATATACACATCGCATACAGAAAGATTTGAATCCAATATCTCTTAGTTTGTAGCCTAAGCTCTCAACGAATATGCGAAGGTGAGCTGTGTTCTTAGAAATGTAACTTTGAATTAGTCTATGTAACCCAATAATTTGTTGCAGCCTACCCTTCATAAGCAACATTTGACAACTAGTTGCTACCCTCTATGATCCTACTGGGGATACTGATTAGATTCTGCAGAAATTCTCATGGTAATGTTCTAGAAAATAATTTTAATATTGATACAAGTATTCACATAAAGATCAGATATCAGAACGCCTTAAAGCTGGGAGGAAAGAATGAAAATTTTCAAAATAAAGAGACCCTGCAAAACAAAGGCTGATTATATAAGGCTCACAGTCCATTAAAGACATAAAAAATACTTCTTTAGTGCTTTAAGGTTATGAACTGTGGGCAACCGTTTTTAAGAAGCAGATGTACAGGCCTCTAAATAGAATTGTTGGGGATCGAATGGATTAAGAATCTGTTTGGCAATGCTTTCTTCTTTGTGTTTCTATTGTTTTTTAACAGAAGAATAAGTTTTGGCGTTTGGTTTAACAATTTGAGAAGAAGTTCAGTTATTTGAAAGTTAGAAAGCAGTTTCTCTAAATGACGATTTAGGCTTCGTTTGGGACGGCTTTCTTTCTGCTTCTTAAAACGGCTTTTTATTAAAAAATTTAATTTTTTATATTTAAAACTCACTTTTAGAAGCAGTAAGAAAAGCCGTCTCAAACGAAGCCTTATATGACTTCTCATTTAGTCATTTTCATAAGATTCATGTGTTCTATTTAGCAAATAAATATTTAAATTGCTTTGATTAATTATAAAAATGGCAAATAGAGCTTAAAGCTGTACTTGGTTCAGCCTTTTACTCAAGTAATAGTAGCCTAGTAGGAAAAGCTGTTAGGGGAAATAAAAAGAACTGTTTTGGATGAAAAGTTGAATTTTTTTCTTATTTTTTCATAATTTATTAGGAAAAAAAGTTTTTTTAGACCGTAAAATTAAAATTATGGCCAATAAAACAATTTTTATAAAACTCTTATTAAAATTAAAAAAAATCCTTCTGAGCTATAATTAGTATTGGAAGAGGACTCTGCAGCACTAATAGATGATTAAAAACAGCGAAAAAGAAATAAGCCTTGCAGTAAGTGTCAGCTAGTTTTAAAAATTATGGTCAAAATTTTGAGATCAAATCATTTTTACATCAATTTCATGCTTTGATATTCAAGTTTTAAAAGAAAATTAAAAAGAAATAGGCTCAAAAGATCAAACAAAATTTGATGGCGCGCTGCAGCATCAGTAAGGAACTAACACCAAAAGCAACGAAGGTAATTAATACATTTGATGGTGAAATCCATTTAATCTTACTAAAATAACTTACAATTTTTCCTAATAATGGAAAACAATACAGAGGTCAAGTTGATCCATTTCAATTAATCAGGCGTCCGTTGCTCACTTATTGAGTCTTATGCAAGTTCCAGGAAGCTTCCTATTCAAGTACTGAAGCCAATATCTCACTTACAGACTCTGATTCCAATATGTAAATCGAAGGAGACTTTTTAAATAGTTTTTTTGCATAAAATATCAAATTCAATCTTATAAAAATAGTTTTTTGCCAATATCTTAATTTAATCATGTAATGTTTTGGTTTTTGATCAGGCAATGAAACTTTTACAACTTTGGAGCTTTAACCATAACAAGTTTATTCATTGCTTTCCATACAATATGACCGTTAGCCAGTTCCAAGAAGGGAAAGCATCCGAAGGTTTTATCACTTATCTGCTGAATTTCTCATTACAGAGACCTGCAATCCACCCAACAAGCACCATCCACGTGCTATTATCTGTAAGTAAAATTCTTGTTAATCCCATTTCTTCCTTTCCTCATCTTTCACGTGTTCCATTATTCTTCAGTACCAGTTTTGATATATATTCCCGCCATACTTATACTTTCACAAACAAAACTGCCCTAACAGGGTGAAAATGGAGATATCATATGCAACTTCAAGCAATCTTGACATTGCTGAAGGTGATTCTGTCAATGGAGTTACGAGACAGGTGAGAGTGGCACCTCTTGATCATCCAACACCATCTTCTCCTGGATTGCCGCCACCTTCACCGTTGCTTGCTCAGTGGAGAGCTAAGCTTCGAGGAATGTCAGCCAGGGATTGGATGGAGCTGTTGCTGCCTTGCACTCGCTGGATTCGGACATACCAGTGGACTGAGTACCTTCAGGTGGATATCATGGCTGGAATTACTGTAGGAGTTATGCTTGTTCCTCAGGTAAAATGGCCTTTCAGTTCTCAAAATGCAATTACAATAGGTGTGCTTATGTTTTTTAAATCTTTTTCTATTAAGTTGTCCGCATTGGTTTTTTTTTTTTTTTGAGAAAACTCACGGCGGGGCCTACGCATTAATACTGTTAAAAATTTACATGTACTTAAAGGATCTAAAGCTCGCCAAAAAGAATAATATTTGAATTAAAACATGAGAGCTTCAGATCCTATCTATTATAGGAAGAGAAAATCAAAACAAATGAAAAAGAAATCCAAAAAGAGAATCACCAACATCACTAAGTATCCAAGTCAGTATCCCGAAAGCAGCTACCAGGAGCATCAAACAACCCGGAACCTATCCAGGAAGGATAGGAATAACCTGCAAAACCTACAAAGCAAAATAGAGAAGATGGAGGGGAGAAACATCTCTCCCCAAAGCCACCACCCAAACCAACAAAAAAACAGGCCAACAACAAAAAATCGAAGAAAAATCCACTCCACAAAACGACATAGCTACTTTCTAGATTTTCTTTGACTACGTTTACTGCCACGCGAAAATGCCTTCTTAACAACCTTACAAACATCTAAACCATAATACAAGTCATGACAAGAATCGTCCTGAACATCACCAAGATCATCACTCACCACACCAGGCGATGAGGGAGACCTTCCAAGCCATCCCGAATGCCCAGTACAGACAACCCCCAAATTAGAAACAAAATTAGCATTCAAAGCGTTAGGGAACATAACACCAATAGGCACCTCAACTAGAGCCTCAGTTCCCAAAGATCCAAAAGTTGTTGGAGAAATAGAACCACCACCCGCCCCCACAAAATTAGGAGAAAACGTCCCAGCAACAGGGCGAAGTAACCACAGCCTTAGACGAAACAACACACACATCGGCTTGACCAACATGCCATTCTGTCTCATTTTCAACGTCCACCTCATCATGAGACAAGGCCATAACACCAACCCCTACTTCCTTAGTTCCAACCAAAAGACCACCCGCCACCTCCTGATTAATTACAACATGAGATAAAAAATCACCAAAGCTATGAAAAACAACATCACCCGGTTCCTTAGCAAAATTAAGCATAGCCTCATGTCCCACAACATTAGGCAAAGGAGAAACAACCTCCTCATCATGATCACAATTCACAGCTTGATTCAACAACAACTCACCTTGGGCCATCCCAACCAAATCATTGTCTGGAATAACATCATCAAGGTCACACGAAGCATGAATATCAACCCCAGACCCCTCCTTTACAAGAGGAGCATCATTCAACTTAGGAAATAAAATCGGACAACCATCCTTCAAATGACCCAATGTTTTACAATGAAAGCAATACGAATGAAACTCTTCCATTTCAATCAAATGAATGTACCCCATAGACTCAGAACTGAGACAAACTTGAGAAGTGTATCTTTTATTAACATCTAATTCAGCAAGTATATAGCAACAGAAATTCTAGAACCATTAATTGTTGCATTATCCGTTCTCAAAGGTCTTCCAAACAGAGACCTCAACCCATAAAGTATAGGGGGGAAAAGAGATGCGAGCGTAAACTAGGAAATGAAATCCAAATGAGAATTATAGTGGACTCCACATTAACATCAAAATGGGGAGACCACTTAAAAGTTTATGTAGCAATTGCTAACAAAATAGGAGCGGTGAGAAAAAACCCTACAATAATCTAAATCATTCACAAGTTTAATCAACATATTTTTATGGTTCAAAACTGTAACTGAAAAGGCACCAGTGCACCACACAGCTTCAGATTGAAAAAAAAAAATTTGCGTATAGAATCAAGAGGCAAGTGCCGGCCCGAAAACTTCCCGACTAAGGCAAACTTAAATGGCTCAGCAAGAGATAACATTTCCTCCTCCGAAATCAGTAAAGTAGACAAACCATCGTGGCAAGAGACTTAGAGCGGAGGAAAGTTAGACGAAGCCTATTCACCCGACAAAACATCTCTAAACGACCTAGATTTTGGCTTACCATCCAAAAACCCTAGATCCCTTAAACGATCCGCAATCATATGGAAGAAAATCGCAAGAGAAAAGGGGATTAAGGAAGTACCCAACCAAGATCGCATCGAGGAGCGAAAACCCTAGAAAATCGCAAGACGCAAGCTGAAACCACGCAGAGCGGAGTCATCCTCGAAGATGGCTCCCATTACTCTCAATCGTTAGTCAGGTTATAATTTTTTTTCCGCATGGATAAATGGTTCATGGAATATATTAATATTAGGATTTTAATAACAACTTTCATAACTTAAAACTTACATGGTGATCACTTGAATTTTGAATAGAATTGGGATGGAAATGAATCATGTTTGGTTGAGGCATGAGACAAAGGCCTATTTTGAAATTTTTAGAGTTTATTTCAAATTTAGGATGGATCACTCTAAATATGTTAGATTCAACATCCGTCCCATCCACACGCCACTAGATTAACAAAACCCATATGTAGTCGTACATGATAGGAAAGAGTTACCCTTAAATACTTCTACAACTATGTATATTATAGAAGCCCCGAAAGTCAAAGACATATTGATGCGGGAGCATTTTTTAAGATTAGTTATTTAGTTTGCAAGAGTAAGTTTATATATAGTTAAGAATAATATTATTGTTAAAGAGTCTAGAAAATGAATTGAGGCATGAGGCATAATATCATGAGCTTATCAATCATTTCAAATATCATCAAATTTCATCACCCAAACCTTAACCAAATCTCTTTGAAGTCAACAGCAACCCAATTTCTTATATAATTAATTTTTGCTATTTTGACTATTTAAGTTTATCATTTTATATCTAATTTTACATACACAGTCGATTTTCATAATCTTGACAGCTTTTGAGAAGAAAGTTTTCCCAAATTCTGTCATCTAGACCTTAAAAACTAAAAAAAAAGTCAAAACATTACTCAAAATATGAAATCTTTACCTTCCCTTCATGAATGCATCCTTTTCCCATGCATTAACTAAGCCTCCCCTCTTATTCTTAAAATTTGATAATGACTCTTCAAATCCCTCTTACATTCAATACCATGCAAAATTCTTTCCCAGTCACCCTTTGGTATTCTCCTCGTATCTTGATTCATTATATGCATGAGTTTATATATATGTAGTTTTATAATAGCTACATAGAAAAGATGTATGACTGAAATTTATTTTTTTAATATAGTTTTTTTTTGTAATTTCGGCAAAGAAATGGACTACCTTGAGCTTGGAGATCTAATTAATAATGATGAATTGTCTGTGAAAAGTATATTCAATATCAAGAGCAAAATCACAGTGAAGGGTTGTCCAAGGATTCCTATTGTTCAATCATCTTTAGAGAAGGCTGACCAAGCTTGTGGAGAAGACTATCCTAACCTATGATGCACAGACACGGACACGGCAACACGGATATGACACGACACAGACAAGAAACATTAATTATTGAAAATATTGGACACGAACACGGGTTGAACACGCTATTATAATTTTTATATTTTAAAAATAGTGTATCAAAATTGAATAAGTATAATATTAAAAATAATTTGGAAAAAACAAATCATTTAACTAGAATTTGTGCTTAAAATGATTAATATTATGATGTTGAGAGTCGGGCGTCGCAATCGTGTATCAAACATCAAGAGAGGAGATGACAATGTTGTTGTAAGTCGAGCATCAATCTTATGCATTAAGTATTAGGCGTTGATGTCAAGAGGGCATCTTTCGTCGATATTGAGAGGGCATTGGTCGTCGATTTTAAGAAGATGTTGGACAAAGATGAGTTATAAAATTGTGGGTGTAGAAATTTCTAGCATAGATGAACAATGTCAAGACAGTCTCAGACTTCGATGTTAAGATGGTTTTGAAAATTTGATGTTGTAACGATGTCAAATTTCGATGTTGAGATGAAATCGGACATTATTGTAAAACTAAAGTCGCAACTCGCCAAAGAGAAATGAAAATGAGAGGTATTGTGTCAGAGCAATTGATTTGGTGTTGTGGATAGAAATAAAAATTTAAATACAAGAAATTATATTTTAAAAAAATTCATAAAATATTAAGAAATTATATTTTAAAAAAATTCATAAAATATTTAAGACACGTGTGTCGGGAACGTGTTGAATTTGTATTTAATATTTTTTAATGGACATATTTTCGGTTTGTCTGACATGTGTCGAAGGCTTGTTGTCGGAGGCTTGTCAGACACGTGTTGTGTCGGATATTGCATGCGTCTTTGAGTAGAAGTGTCCATGCTTCATAGATCCTGACATAGGAATGTTTGTGAAGGCAGCCTAATTAATTCTTTGTTCTCTTAATCTTTGTGTCCTTACCCAACCCGATGCAATCACCATACCGAGATCTAAAACCAAATGTAGATATTCACAATGGTTTCAATATATCACAAATTAAAAAAAAAATCGACAAATAAACTAAGCATAAAACCAATAGTGAAATTCACAGAAAATAACCATACAAGTTTTATCATATCCAAATTATATCACTATAAGTAGATCTAAATACTGCAGAAGCGGTCACCACATTATATCCTTTTAAAAAAATTTGTAGAGTCATTCATTTTTTTCCTATATCACAAATTTATGCTCTAGTACAGTTTACCTTAGACAAATTTGAAAACTTGATTTGTGCTAAACTTTTCTCTCTCTCAATCTCAACTCCGTATCTCTCCTATTTTACAGCCTAAACCATCCAGCTTTATATTCATTTCACCCTCTCATGAGCCCATGAATGATTGCTAACTTTCCATGACGATTATGTTAATCTAAAATATAAGCATGAATGGCCAGGCGATGTCCTACGCAAAGCTGGCGGGGCTTCATCCAATTTATGGTCTTTGTGAGTATTTTCATTGGCATAAAATTTTTCCAAATGATGATTATATTTTGTGCTCCCTTCCCTTTTCATGAAATCATAGGTTTCCTAATGCAGATTCTGGTTTCATTCCCATATTTGTATATGGTATATTTGGCTCTTCTCGCCAACTTGCTATTGGCCCAGTGACATTGGTATCCTTATTGGTTTCCAATGTATTGAGCAGCATTGTTTCCCCTAAAGAGGAGCTCTATACAGAGCTTGCTATACTGTTGGCATTTATGGTGGGTGCTTTGGAGTGTACAATGGGTCTATTGAGGTATTGACCCTTTTTCTGAAGTTTAAAAGGAATTTGCTGTTTTTTTTTAATCTTTTTTTCTGACTTTGTTTTATTTTTCTCAGGCTTGGATGGCTTCTACGTTTTATCAGCCATTCTGTAATTTCTGGTTTCATAACTTCTTCAGCTATAATTATTGCATTGTCACAAGCTAAGTATTTCTTGGGGTATAACATAGAAAGAAGCAGTCAAATAGTACCACTTGCTAAAAGCATTATTGCTGGTGTTGGAAATGTAAGCTCTTCACATTTTTTCTAACTTGGAATACAGTTTTTATTTATGAAACATCTCCACATCACGATTTTTCAGCACACTAATGTGTTATTTCAGTAACCCAAATAATTTTTTAAGTTCCAAATATTTCATTAGTGTATTTTACATTTTCTGTTGAATTTTCTTTTTTTTTTCTCTTTTATAGCCCTTCATTATGATATAAATATTTAGAAGGATTCACATTTTAGCAAATGTTTATCAATAACTTTAGCTCAAGCACGAGTATATTTTGCACATGTGAATATTTGGGATGAGATCAATGATAATGGTGATGACAATGACTATTGTTTGCAACTTTAAGGTTTAATGTTAAGAAGGCTTTCATCTAGTGTTTCGGTTTGTTGATACATTTATGGTATTTTTCAGTTTAATTCATAATTTGTTGACCTTTTATTCTGCTCATTTTGGTTTCATGTGTGATCTGAAGATGTTGATGTATTAATACAATAATATATTTCTTCTTATTGCAATGTGAGGGTAGAAAGTTTTTGTCAGTTGTCCAACGTCTTCTGGTTTCTTCTTCATATGAACATATATCATTCTCATCATTCTCCTCATCCTAAGATTGGCTGCAGAAATCTTCATCCGTGGGAATTCCTTCTGCAATAATACAACACAAAACAACTGCAATTAAGAATGTCTAGTCCACCTAACTAGTCTTAATATATGCAATCTTCAAAATGGAACAATTCTAACTTGAAATTCATATTTCCACCTCAAAGGAAAATTCATTCATGTGCCAAATCAAACAATTCACTAAAAGGTTATAATGATCATCTCTTATCTTACCACTAAATTAAAATAGATGGAAATATTTTTCCCTTCATGAGATTGGGAGATCAGGTTCGAATTAAAAATAGCATATCTCTAAATGTAGAGCTAACGACGTACACACTAACTCTTCTCCAAACCCTTCATTGCACGATCGTAATGCACTTACTTATGTGTCCTTTTTTTTTTCTTTTTCATACACATTGCTTGTGCTTTTGTGATTCAATTTTTTTGTTCCATAATGTATGCAAGTATTAACATGCTAAGACATCTATGTTTACTAATAATATTGGATAGTTTTTTGTAGTTCTCATGGCCCCCCTTTTTGATGGGATCTATCATTCTTGCAATCATTCTTCTCATGAAACACCTGGTAGGAGCTTATTAATGGAAGTTGAAACATTGTTCAGTGGAGGTAAGATATTTCCTTTATTTTATTGTATAAATGACACAGGGGAGTTCAAAGAAGAACCTGAGATTTCTTAGAGCGTCGGGCCCACTCACAGCTGTCATTCTAGGCACAGCTTTTGTTAAAATATTTCATCCACCTTCAATTACAGTGGTAAAGTTTGTTTTGATTCAATAATCAATAGTTGAGCTATTTGATATGATAAATTTTTGCGCTAGTAATTTTTTTTATTGATGTTGTGAATCCAAACATTATTAATCTTATATTTGGAATGAACGCTTCTAATAAGAAACTTTAATGCATATGATTTTGTTAAAAAGAGAGTTATTAGAATGATTCTAGTCAAAATCTGGTTGTGTTGACTTCATTAGTTTGATTTAATATACTTAAGGCTTCATTTGGGGCTTTTTTTTTTTAGAAGCTTTTTTTTTTACCATAATTTTTATTATGTTTTTGCAAAAGGAGCTTTTTAAAGGCAAAGTTGTGAAAAAATAATGAAAAGTTGTCATCCAATCGGATATTATATTTTGTTGGCTGTTTTCCCAGTGAAAAAAAAAATTTAAAATTTAATCATGTGAGCTGACTGTTCGTTCCTTCAGGTAGGTGAAATACCACAAGGCCTTCCAAAGTTTCACATCCCTAGAGAATTTGATCATGCAGAATCTCTTATATCAACTGCAGTTCTAATTACTGGTGTGGCCATTTTGGTAAAATAGTTATTGAAACTCTCATTCTTCTCCATGTTTTGTCTATTTGTTAAGTTCTTACTTGATTTTTTTTTTAACTACAGGAATCTGTTGGTATTGCCAAAGCATTGGCAGCAAAGAATGGATATGAGCTGGACTCAAATCAAGAGGTCAGAATGTCAATGTCTGCAATTGGACCTCATATTATTTTAGTGCTTTAACTATTTCATTGTAATTTGATTAGATATATATTGATTTATTTTTTTTATGTGCAGTTATTTGGTCTTGGAATGGCAAATATATGTGGCTCATTCTTCTCTGCCTATCCTGCCACAGGTATATATGCCAATAGTTATTGTTAATTATCCAATATTAAGTTGAATTATGAAGGATTTACTACTCTAAAGGGCTGTTTGGCTGCAATTAGGATTTAACTTTAAAAGAAATTAGTAGATCCTGTAAATCTAAATTTGACATGACAATGTTAAATATTGTTACATACTGTTAAATTATTTCTCTATTTGTTTGAAATTTAAGATTTATGAGAGGAAGAAATTTTTAAATCTAGTCAACCATGTGATTGATGGGATTTAATCAATCTTGGATTAATCAATAATAGATTTGAAACTGAATTTATCAATACAGTAGGTTTTAAGTCCCCAAAAATAAGTTTAACAGGATTTTTAAGTTAAATCTTACTTAAATGCTACCTAAATTAAAATCCTCACATCCCCTAAATTTTTTATGATTTTCCCTTTGCTGTTTCTTAACATTTCTACAAGTATTTCACAAGAGAATTCAGACAGAATTACAGCCCTATATAGGCTCTTTCTCTAGGTCAGCTGTGAATCACGAGAGTGGAGCAAAGACTGGACTATCTGGAATCATAACAGGAATAACAATGGGATGCGCTCTTTACTTTTTGACACCATTGTTTCAGGATATTCCTCAGGTACATTTTTAGAAAATTTCACTATCGGTTTTTTTCTTCTCAATGATACCACTAGGACAAGGGAGTTGAGTTACCTATTTTTATGTTATATTGTTAAAAGGGTGAGAGAATTATAAATGACTACATATTTACTGAATTATCATGCCAGTACAAGTAAATATAGGTTTATATTTGGCAAGAAAAATTAAGAACAAAAAAAGGCTTCACTTTGTCAAATTCAGATAGTTCGGATAAGGCTAATGATAATGATTATGATCATAGCATATGCTTCATTTTCTTTTAGTAGCTATACTTATCAATGTTGTATGTTTGTATGTCTCAGTGTGCACTGGCCGCCATAGTAATTTCAGTTGGAATCAGCCTGGTAAGACTGCAAAATTAGATACATTTTTACTATTTTAGATTTACTCGTGAGAGCAATTGAATGAGTCTTGTTATACTACTCTTGATCCATTTCCATTTTTGGCTTAAGTCATTATTAACAATTTTAAACTTGTTAATTATAAACAGATTTTGGCAAGTGATTGATCGAATATTTTTGTTCATAGATTTTGCTTCATTTTTTTCCTCATGAATTGGATGATTTTTCATTATATAATCTAGAACTTCTGTTCTATGTACTGAAGGTCAAAGGCTCTAGCATATAAGGTCTGAATTTCTGAAAATATAAATACATAGAAAATTAATATTGAAATGGACAAATAATGTTTGGTCTAAACTAAACAGTGACAGGAATGGAGGCAAAGAGGGTTTGTAAAGCGGATGCAAGATGAATTCTACAAGGCTTGAAAATCATGGAAATAACTAAGTGGAAATAAGGTCCAACTAAACTGAAGCCATTTTACATTGAATATTAGTGAGTCCTATTAGGATAATAGTAACAAGAAAAAGAAAAAAAAAAGGAGAAGAAGACAAGAAATCAAATGTAGAAAATACGAAAACACATACACATAACTTTTGTGTGATTCGATGAGATCCACTTACGCCTATGCTTGGATGGAGATCAAATAATTCATCAAGCTTCAAGAGAGGAGTGCATCAAGAATTTGTATTATTACGAAGTTAAAGATATAACTTTGTGTATGTCAATGACTACGAGGAAATGCAACCACTTACCGAGAAGATGAGGGTTGAAGGTGAAGAAGATGTTTTTGTTAATGCTATTACTCTATCTCATTCTCTACTACATGAGTCTAAATGAGATGTCGTCCCTGCTATGGTCGAAAACTTCTTCTTTTAAAGAACCTTAACTAGTAGCACCTTGCCACCTCCGTCTTTAAAGAATGAAAGACCTCTCTTGTACAAGCATATGAAAAAAATCCTCTCTTCTCTCTCTGACGATGCCCTATCTCCCTCTTTTCTCTATTTTTTTATGGTTATGGGGTGTCAAGCTCTTCCCTCAAAGGCACTATTTATAGAGGAATAACCTATTGGGCACTGCTTTGTAGTGTTGAAGAGGAACTAGAGTGATTTGAAGTTTATTGTCGGAGAGCAAGGAATTGGCTATCCTCACTAAGGTGACGACAGCTTCTTTGTTGGCTATCCTCCAAATCTGAATTCAAGTCCTCCTAGGATTGCTTTTTTAGGTTGATGGCCTCTTGGTTCCTTTTGGCTGCATGAGGAAGATCTCTTCCTCACTCCCTTTAGTGCCACTCCCTCAATGAGGAATGGCTGGTGGTGGAATGGAGACATTGGTATTTTTTGGTAATAGTGATATTTTTCCTTTGTCCTTAGCTTTAACTGCTTTTTTATCTTTTGATGGTTGAAAACTCATTTTTAAATTGATATTGGGGCTTTCAATGCTCAAAACGGGTGATCTATCAATTTTGCTCCTTCTCTTTCTAAGTTTATGTGAAGGTTTGATTTCATGTTTCATACTTTTTTTACTATTTGGGGAAGAGGGGGAGAGTCGAGATTCATAACACAACTAGCACACACAAACACTTATGTCAATCTTTGAATCTAAGGCCTTTTGGATGAGTCAAAGCTCTCAACCAGCAAATTTAAAAGTATGTGGCATAAGCATGCAATGAGAAATCAAACTTATCGAACTTGAAAACAATGCGTAGATGAAACTAATTGCACTAAGCATATTAATAAACATATAGGTAATTATTGTCTTTTCAATCCTCCTACCATAACTTTTTATTTCCACAAATGTGTCTCTGAAACTTCTCAACACGTATGAAGATAATGTTTTTTATCCATAGGATAGTTCAATTATGTTCAAGTTCATCCTTTGGTGATGATCCAACATACTATTTCTAATTTTAATGCATGCAATTTATGTTTTTAGCTTAATTCATACTTGGTTCACATATCGAATGCTCTAATAACAAGTTTTTTCTCTCTTCATAACAATCTTTTACATCAAATTAAATGAACATGTTTTTCATTTCAAAATTTCCAGGTGGATTATGAGGAAGCTTTGTTCTTGTGGCGTGTAGAAAAGAAAGATTTTCTTCTTTGGACGATAACATGTGTTATGACTTTGTTTCTTGGAATAGAAATCGGTGTTCTTGTTGGGGTAAGATTCTTTAGAAGACTAAGCTTCTTAAGGATATTCTAGGTTGGATATGTACGTGAAAAAAAAAATTGGATCATGATATTCGGACTAATGGTGTCAAAATTGTTAGGTTGGGTTTATTATGAAATGAGTGCAATATAATTTTTTATTAACTCCCTATCTCTTGCACTAATTTTAAAGAAAATACAAAATTTTTTAGATACATCATAATAAAATTTTCATCGGGATATCCTGACTCTGATTTATCTTATCTACTATATTTGTTGTTGTGCAAGGAAATATGTTCCCCTCTAATTTGAAAATTTTATTGCAGGTTAGTTCTTCCCTTGCATTTGTCATTCATGAATCAGCTAACCCACACATAGGTGAGAACACTTCTTTACTGGAACCCCCAAGCTGAGATTTTATTTTTTTAATTCATTGTAATATATGACTAACATATTAAAATTTAAGTATTCCTGTAGCTATCAGACAATTTTAATGATCAGAAGTACATAAATAGTTCTTATGGTTATAGCTAAATAATCCTGATAATAAATATGTTCTTCCTTTTCCTATCCACTTTTATTTTAGACTATTTTTTTCAGCCTTCCCCTGCAGCGCCACAGAAAAGATCCAATATTTGGGAGTATTTTTTTCATTAAGAGCATTTTAAAAAATCCACTGCAATTTTCGGTTTAGCTTTTTTTTTTTTTTTTTTCTATTATGAGAGAGGGGCCACCATCATCATATGATGTTGGGGATGAGGAGTAAATACCACAATGACGGAACAAACAAGAAAGTAAAAGCAGCGGAATAATAAAGGACACCCATGAAAAAAATCAAAATAGGGAAAAAACCACGGAGCCACACCACACCAAGAAATTCACTATGAAAATTGGGAGAAATGAGTACAGATCTTTGTTCTCTCTCACTCTCTAATTGCTTCTCTTCTCACAGGCACCGTTTTCTATGTCTTCTTTCACGAAATACAAAGAAAGTCAAGTTAAATAACCCAAGGGACGGAACCTAATAGAACGCAGCCACCTAAGTGCAAGAAATTGCTGAATTTCTTCAATTCAACAAGAATGATGCAGAAATTGTAAACTAAGTCGAGAAAATAGCAAGTTTAAGTCTCCAATTCAACAAAAGAACAAGAAAATCTGCAAACGATATAAGGATCTTCAATTCGAGAGGAAGATCTAACTCTCCAAATCTCTAGCCAAATACTAGAGCCCTAGCACCACAGAAGAGATCCCGAATTCAAGATGAAACCCTAATCCTCACAAGAGAAATTAATTAAAACAAAGAGGACAATTACAAAATCCCTAAACAGCCCATAATTCAAATTTTCCCTCCCAAAGCAAGGTTTAATTGAGTTTTGGGCCCCCATCTGTCTAGTGTCCTCCTTTCTTTCTTCCCCATGATTCCACCCAGCCCTTTGGACCTCCGCCCGTAGTATAGAGCTGGTCCATATTGGATCGGTTCAGCCGGCCTAACACAACCCTTCAGAAAAACTAGAAAGAAAATCGTCAAATCTGTTTTGCAGCGCTGCGGCACTCAAACCTTTGTCTTGATTCACTGCGCGTCGTATCTAGACCGTTGCAGCGCTCCGCTCTCTTTTCTTCAACGCTGGGGCACTCGGGAACACAACGCCGGGGTGCTTGGGTACACAGTGTCAGGGCATTGTACGAAGAAAATTTTTTTAGCCCAAGCAGGGGGTAAACACCCCGCACTCCCCAATAAGCACGACAAACTTGAGGTATGAGACAACAAAATAACCCGATTGATCAACAAAATCATATTCCACACATAAATATGAAACACATGAGCGATTAAGATTGTGCATTTCTCCATAAAGCTTCACCATCATACTGAAATCTATAGTAGCAGCAATGTGAAACAGATATCAATTGAGCAAATCTATATAAAATTATTGGCGTCCATTCTTGTTTATTTTCTTTCTGTTTTATTCACTGTAAATGATTTGAATTTTGTCTAGAATGCTTTCTTATTTAGACTTCGTTTGGGATGACTTTCTTTCAGCTTTTGAAAGCAGATTTGTAGATTTTTTTACTAGAATGCTGCTTTAAGAAGCAGCAAAAAAGCTGTCCCAAATGAGGCCTTAGTCCAGATTAAGCTTTAGCTTCTGATTATACTTAATTTATTTTAATGCAGCTGTATTGGGAAGACTGCCTGGAACAACAGTTTACAGAACTATTGAGCAGTATCCAGAAGCCTATGTATACATAGGAATTGTTGTTGTCCGAATTGATGCACCTTTATATTTTGCAAATATAAGTTACATCAAAGACAGGTGAAAGCTTTAACTCTATATACTGAAGTAACTATTTTTTAATCTTCCGTTACTTTTCTTCATATTCTTAATTGCATTCAGCATTTTTTTTTCTTTTTACAGGCTACGACAGTATGAACTAATTGTCTCAGGATCTGCTTGGAATGGATCATCTGATGAAAAAATTTATTTTGTTATAATTGAGATGGCGCGTAAGTCCTTAAATCATTATTAGATAATCCTAACCTCTAATTTGTTAGTTCTATTAATGAAGTTCGGACACTTAGCCTTTCTTCCATATTTGATGAAGTAGTTTCTTTTTATTTTCCTGGAAATTTGGATTGTCACTGTTTTTGTTGGTGTGTGGCATAGTTCCTTTCTCATTTTTCCTAAACAAAATTGCCATGATAAATTAATAAGAATGAGAAGATACAAAATTAGTGATATAATAAGTACCCTTTGAGCCCCTTTGTTATTGAGTTAAAAAATAATAATTTATTAAGTTGTAAACTCTAATAAATGTCATAAGAATAATTTTGTGTTACACATAAGAGTTGCATAATTTGATTTTGAGTGGATACAATACTAACTTGACATGCTCTCAAGGACTTGCATCAAGAATACAAATCACGTGAAATACAGGTTTGAAGATCACCAATTTCAGTTTCCCTCAAATCTTATTGTTGATTATACACAGGTCTTGCTGATGGAAAATTTGTTTCAGATAGCCATTTCCAACCCAAACCGTAAAGTTCTTCAGACACTCTCTAGAGCTGGCTTATTAGAGTTAATAGGCAAAAGATGGTATTTTGTGAGCGTCCATGATGCCGTAAGAGCTTGCTTACAAGAAATGCCAAACTTACCTGGAAGCAGTCCAAGGTTTGGAGACCAATCACCTCAAAGGCCAACAAGAGGTTTTTCACAAAGGCAGTGGCGACACAGAACTGGTGATGAATCTAACCCCAGTCAGGAACCTTTATTGTTACAGAAGGAGGTTTGACTGCTTATTTGTCAGATCAACTTATCTTTCTTTTCTATGTGTCAGCACCTATTATGGAAGAAACGAACAGTGGAAAATAGAATTTTGTTATGCTACAATAAGGCTTGCCTTGTGCAAGAAAAGTATCCAAGGTTTTACCAATGAATTTGTATTAGATTGGCATATTGTGGGATGAGGGAAGATGTAACGGTCTTATATTTTGAATTTGAAACTGTTATATCTGTTCAAACTTTATGTCATTACTTGTTTAAAATTCATGAGAATTTACAATAAAGTTTTTTTTTTTTGAGATCTGCGTAGTAATGGAAACTTTTTTCCATACCTTCCTCCTATTTTGTTATTGATGGAATTTCATCCAGATTTGGGCTTCACCCGTTTTGTTTGCTTGTGAATCTGTTAATGAAAATCAAAATCAAATTCCACTTGAATTAAATAATAAATAAATAACCAAACTCGATCGATTTAACAGCGTCTCAATCGAATACACTTAAAGTCAAATTTAGGTTTGGTAAAGTTGAATAAGACCTCCAACCTCATCCATCTGTTGCTTCTTCTGAAACAAGAAATGCTGAGACAAGCTATTCAAATATGTTGACATATGCAGCAACATGGTCTTTCTGAAAGCTGACAAGTAGCAAAGCTACAAAGCTATTTGCTTTGTAAGGTTGGCATTTATTCCAATTGAGTGCTTGATTAGCTAATTAATTATCATTAAAAAAGTTGAATAAGGGATTAAGCTGCTTTAGCTGAGCTATGTGGGTTTGGTCGAATCCCATTTCAGTAGCTTCTTGAGAATACTATAATTAATTGATTGTATGGCAATGGAAAAGGTTGAGATTGATAGGAATTAAAAAGGAAGGAGATTTTTAGGCTGTGTTTGGTTTGAAAGATTTGAAAAGAAGTTTTTTTAGATTTTAAATAGATTATTTTTCAATTTTAAACGTTTGTTGTTATAAATATTATGTCTTCAAATTTATTTATTGTTTTTATTATTAAAAAATCTTAGAGGGAATGATTTGGTGAAATGATATAATATTTAATGATTAATGAAAAAGAATGTTTATCATAAATTCTTAAAAAATAATATTCGGACATCTCACTGCAATAAATTGAGACGTCGTTTGGGATAGATTTTGGTTATTATTTTTACATTGCTTTCAATAAATTTTTGTACTAAAAATTTATTATAGAAAGCAATAAGAAAATTGTCCCAAAGGAAATATAAGGCTTCAATTGGAACGGCTTTTTTAATGCTTGTTAAAATAGCTTTTTAGTATAAAAATTTCAAATAAGAAAGGAGTTGTTAAGTTAGCGAGAAGAACAAAATTTTTCATCATATATACTTTAGTTTTGATATAAATCTCATTCCAACTTTTTATATATATATATATATATGAATCTATTTTAAAAATAATAACTCTATGCTTTAAGTGCTTAATTTTATTATAATGTTAAAATAAAATATTATAATTCTTTATTTTAACGGTCATTTTTTTTCAATGAATTTTATTAAAGGATGTAAGATTTTTTGCCAAGAAAATCAGTTTCATGCTTAATTTTAACAAATTTATCCTTCTTATCTTAATTTTTTTTCTTTATTAACTATATCATTTATATTAAACTCTAATTAGTTTTAATGTTTCATATTATATTAATGATAATCCACCGAACATACGGCACGTTTTGGGGATCTGTCCGACAAAGACCGTCAGATCTCGTTAGTTAAAAAGGATAAGGCCACATTGGTATTTTAAGTATTATAATGCCTAATATTACATCCCAATTATTATAATCTGCAGCTTTCACCGTTTATGCTTCCTTTAAATTCTTTATTAATTTAAATAAATTATATTATCAGAAATAATGAATGCCATTTATTCACTGCGAGATTTGGAAAAAAATTTCAGCAAAAAAAAAAAAAAAAAAAAAAAAAAAAAAAAAAAAAAAAAAGATAAGATCATTATTCATTAATTTAAAAAAGCATCTTTAAATAATATTTGGGATAATTATTTTATAAATTACATCAAAATGATATTAGAGTTTGTATTCCAAATGCACTAAGTGTTTGGTTTGCTGAAAAACGAATGCAATGTTAAATAAATACTTTAGAGTTGTTAGACGTATGAATAAATTTATTTTTTTTGTTAAAAGCAATGAATGTAGAGTAAAGCACTACATGGAGGCTGTCGGCGGCGGTGTGTGGTGTTGAGTGGCAGTATCGAGCAACAGTGGTCAATGACGGGCGACATTAGTGATGGTTAGCAGCGGCGGTGGTGGTCGCTTGATGGCCACTATTGGCCACTTGCCTCTAAACCATCGTTGTTAGTCCTTCACCTCCTCTGAACCATCATTATCCCTTCATTCGACTATCATTAGCAGCATACCCTCCAATCGTTTCCTTCAGCTTATCGTCGGAGTGCCAATGTTGGAATATCACCTAACCAACTTCGCTAGGCTTTCATCGATGTACTTTCTGACTCCTTGTACCAATGGATCAATTTAAGATCACCGGATCACACTTCCCAATCATCAATCATCGCCGAACTTTTGCCCGTCTGTTGACAGTCATCGAGTCTCCTCTGGGTGTTATTACTGTTAGATCTTTTCATACCATCATCTTACGAAGGAGGTGATTGATCTTCTTCTGTCATGGATAGTCTAAGGGATATAATAATCTTCTTAATTTTTACTAGTCATGAGACTCACACAAACTATAAATATATCTCTCATTCTTCACTGATGGAGGAAGAAAAAAGCTAAAAAGCTCTCATACATTTTTAAACTATTATTGCTATCGACTACCACAAACAACCATCATCATCACCGACAATCGACACCAGAAATCATCAACATTTCTTGAATACAGTCAATATTTGATCTTATTGTCGGGGATAAATATTTGATCTTTATATTTTTATCTTCTTCAATAGTGAAAAAAAATGTTTCTGCAAACGATCCAGATCACGTGATTTTTTCCTTTCCATCCGTTGCAATCTCAATCTTAAAATATAGTAAAAAAGTTATCCAAACACATCTCAATTTGATATATTATCATTTCATGTTTCATAATAAATCATAGTTACAGCAATATTAGGAATCAAATGTATATCTCCACCAAATATGATGAATATTATATACTTCGGGCATCTCCAACGGAGAACTCCATTTGTCACGCCAAAATACTGCAAAACGCAAAAATGGCGTGGTGCTGCTCCAATCGAATGCCATTATTTTGCTTCCGCGCGAAGGTAACGATCCTTTTCCTTTCGCGCGTTTTTTCGGTTGAAAGAGGAAAATAGCGTGGGTAATCCGCAAGCAAATGACGGACGTTTTGGAGTTCGGCTGGAGCGACCGAACGCGACCGAACGACGTCAAACGAGCGTTTGACGCTCGGTTGGAGATGACCTTTATAGCTAAAAAATAATCTGTTGTGATTTTCATAGAGGGCATGTGCCACCATTAATGGTGGAATGGATGGCTGAAAATGATGCCAGGGCCAAGCCATTTATTGCAGGTCAGTTTGCTGGTCCTTGTTCATGGTCTTGTCACCTAGGTTTGGCTGTTAAAATTACTGTAGCAGTCCTGTGCTTAATAATTGGAGGGCTTTTGCATTCTCCCTGTGAGTTGGGATAAATGTCGGCATTAATTTGCGAGTCGCTAAAAAAAATTAGCAAAAGTACCATTAAAATTTTACTCTACATATTCAACTAAGATTTCCCCTGTAATAATTTTCTTTTTGTTTGATTATTATAAATTTAAGTTTTATTTGGAACAAATTTTTTTTTTTTACTTTTAAAACAATTTTTATTTTTATTTTTTGAATTAAAAATTTTTTATTAAAAAATTATTTTATACAGACGTAAGAAAGTTATCCCATTTTATAAAACTATTTTTAGTACAAAATTTTTTATAAGTAGAAAAAAGAGTGATATAAAATTGTTTCAAACTAAAATTTCATTTGGGACGGTTTTTTAACTGCTTCTTAAAACAGTTTTTTCGTGCAAAAATTAAAATTTTATACTAAAAGTTGCTTTAAAAAACAATAAGAAAGCCGTCACAAATGAAACCTAAGTCTTAAATTTTATTTATCATTACTTTTTAATTGCTTTTAATACATTTTTATGTTAAGAAGCTACTTTTTCTATTGTAATTTTTTATAAAGAAGTAATTTTATTAATTATCCTTTATAAAAATTTATAATTGTTATAAATACAATAATTTCCATGAAGAATTGAGGAGTCAAAAAAATTTTTTTTCCAACCAAAAATAAGGTGTTTGTATTCTTTATTTTTGAAATATAAACTTAAATTCTAAAGTTTTCATATCTATAAAATCCTTTTAAATTTATGAGTTTAGTTCCTAATCTCTTGATTGCTAGGATTTATTTCTTCTCAAATTTTATGTAATATCGAAGATAATAAAAATGTCTATAAAATTCTTTTAAAAAATTGACTCTCATCACTTTATACCTATTATTTAAAAAATTCAGATAAATTGGCTCAAAATTAGTCCGAATATTTATTTGAAGTATTAAATTTACTTTCATTACATAATTAATTATTTAAAAGTGAATAATGACTAAAAAATTCCCATCTTTAATTTTAGCCTCCAACGTCTTTATGAAATTAACAAGCCCGAAGACCGCCTCGTCGTTTCGAAATCAGAATCCCACAGAGGCGCACAGCTGCAGCTGTGTCTCAGTGCGAAGGTTTGAGATAGGGGGAAGCGAGAGAGAGGAGAGAGAAACAGAGAGAGAGAGAGTGTGTGCGTGATCCATTTCCTGCTCGCGTCTTCTTGCAGCAACTTCAGCCGTTTATGTTCCTTTTTAGTCTTTACCATAGCTCGATCTCTCTACCGCTTTCAGCTTTGGAATTTTTGCCATACCTGCGAATCCTGTTCATAAATCCCTTCTGCACGTTGCACTTCTCCAACTTGGTCTCTGGTTCGTTCTTCGTCCAGCTTAGCTTGGGATCTACTGCTCTAGTTCTTTTGGGAGGGCTCCCGACCTCCTGTGGCTGGCGAGGCCAGTTTCTAGGGCTGTCGGACGCTCGCTTGAGCTTTTTCTTCTCATTAGGGTTTCCGGTGACTGCCTTGGAGAAGAATGCATAGATCACGGAGCAGGGACAAGCCTAGCATGGCCTTCGATCCGAGGTCCAACGCCGAAGGAAAACCCGTGGACGCTGAAGGTCTGTCTCAATTTTCTCCTTTTGCTTTTTTTTAATCTACTGCAGAGCATTCTAGGGCTGCAAGATGATGAAATGTCATGATTTTATTGATTTTTCCTAGTAGAATTTGGATTCCGTGAATGCGGCTTTGAGCTTGAATAATGGAAGGAATTTCGTAAAGCTTTCGCGTTGAATGTTTTCTGGATTCTTGATTTTTTTACCGGAGCAGTTCCTCATTGATAGGGATGTGAAATTTTTTTTTTTCAGTTTTGTTTCTTGAACACATACAAAAAAAAGTTGCTAGAAACAATTCATGAAATGAGATGCTGTAGAGCTTGAACGACGCACATGTTTTTCTTTGCTTCTTTCCCAGTTCTCAATTTAAGATTATAATAACAAGGGGGCTCCTTTTTTCTAATGAGGCGTGCTTCGTTGTTATTATTATTATAAAACTCTTCTTCATAACCCAAATCAGCTTGTCCCTGTTCTATTTATTTAATTGCTTTTGCTTTGCTATTTGTGACATGTTTTGACTTGTGCAATTTGTATTCAGCTAAGTTTTTTATTTCTAAACCTGACTCAGTACTTTTTTAAGTGATCTAGATGTTTGTTTATTTCGCTAGCCTTACTTTTTTCTGCTATCCTGTTTTTTCCTTTTTTTAAAGTGTGTTCTGGGAGAGCTTCTATATATCCCGCTTCCGTGCCATGATATTGTCATGTTATAGTGTTTTTTGTCACCTTTTTTTTCATTTTTTTTCTGTCATCTTGCGAAGCAGTTAGATTATCGGGATTCTGGAACCTTAAATTTTCACAATGAGACCTTTTCAGAATTCATCAGTCAGTTTAGCTGTGACCATGGCCCCATATGTTGAATTACTTCCGCTGTTACAGCTATACTGAGATTTGTCTGAATTACTGAATATGATGTTCATGTTTGATAACATTTTCAAGCAGCTTCCATTGAAGTTTCATGTTGATTATAGTAGCATCAAAATTACTTTTTTATTGCAAAGTTGAGAGGTAAATTAAAGAATTATTATATTAGAGGAAGATTGGAGACATTTATTGGAGATAAGATGATTGAAAATGAGCATAGGTGGTTTGTACATGTACAACAAAGGGTGAGTTTTATTTAAAGAGAAAAATAAATTTGGACTTCTAAACAATATCATATTTATCCAACAAATTACAAGTTACCAATCTAAACATGTTTATTGTATATTGCTATGTTAATGAATCATCTATATCTACAAGTTGCAACTCACATATCTACTAGTCATTCATGTTTTTGGATATCAATAAGCTGATGGACGACTTCTCTATCTCTACTCTCATATAATCATTAAGTCGTATCACAAGTGTTGCGGTTGAATCTAAAATTTCAAAGGACTAAATAATGAGCTCTAAAACTCTAATTCCCCCTTTAAGATTAGTTCTAAATTGTGAAAGAAAAGCCTGTTATTGTGGCAAGTCTTAGAGATGGGTATCCTGGGAATGCGTAACCTTTGGTGAAAAGTGCAACCCATCCTAAAGGGGTTAACTTATCCTAAACAGATATAATATGAATTAAAAATCAAGGCTTGTGTAACTGCCGATTTTAATATGTAACTATGTAAACTATTACAAGAGTTATACCGTGTTCTCGTATGTTACACAATTGAATCCAAGAACTCATGTTTGCATTTCAAAGATTTTCTTTCACAAGTTACTTGTTTAGATATACAAAAGAAAAAGAAAGAATAATGACAAATAGTTATCTAGTAACAGGCTTTGGTGAAAAGTGCAACAATTCTCCAAATAGTTATCTAGTAACTTTTATCATTAACCATGCCTACTTACGAGACGAGTCAGTTGAAGCCTTGATATTGGCAAGTTGCTTGATTACCAATGAGTTGCCTAAGAGCTAGCCTCAATTTGATCCTTAGAACTAATTTACTAAACTCGGTTGAAATTCTCATGAAGTAGCCTACTTGCTCTAAATAACCATTAAGTGTGCCTGCCTAAAGTTCCTACTTGAAGAATTTACTGAAGGTATCTTCCAACATAATACAACTCATCTATTTGCTCTGTCCCACCTTCAGCTTATCAAGTGGACTTGTTAAGTACGCATATTACTCTTAGTTTTGAGTTCTCCGCATAAATTTCGGATGACTTTTGATCTATTTTTACATTAGAATGATATTGGTTTGTTTCAGGATATATTCAACCCAGGAACTATATTAAGGAGCCAATGGTAGAGTTGGATTTTAATTTTTCATGCCGCCCCCCAACTGAGGCCAAGTCTGTAAGTGATTGATTCTTGATTTTTTTTTTTTGGTTCTACTAAATAGAAAGTTCATTTAGTTTCTTATCCATTCCTTTCTCTCAAATATTTTGCTGGGTTGTGCCTGTCATCAATTATTGGTTTCTCATGCTGCCAGATCACCTTTGATTTCAAGAGCAGTTCTTCTAAGAAGAAAACTAAAGCACCAATAAGAGCTCCACTGGCTGAAGAGATGTCTATTGAAAATCAAATTAGGCGATCCTCACCTACTGTAATTGCTAGACTTATGGGCCTGGACACATTACCTTCTCCTGGATCCCATAAATCACGGAAGGAAGTGAAAAACTGTTCCCATAAGCTCCGTTCCAACGATTTCCAAAAAGAATTCGCCAGACATGATTGCTTTCTTCAAAAATACAACGATGCGCACCAAGAATATAAAGATGTTTTTGAAGTGGAAGTGCCAGAAGTTGAGAATCACAAGAACCCGGATATTTGTAAGCGAAGGCCCAACGTAAAACAGAGTGAGATGGGCATGGCATTTATACGTCAGAGCTTCATTAATGCAAAGCGCCTCTCCACCGATGACAGGATTCGGAGATCTAAGGAATTTGATAATGCATTGGAAGTTCTTGAATCCAATAAGGACCTTTTCTTGAAATTACTTCAAGAACCCGACTCTTTGTTCTCAAAACACCTTCAAGACCTAAGTCACTCTCCTCCCTCTCCACACGCAAGCCATGCCTTGCTTCAGAAGTCATCAAGAAATAGTCTAACTGCAAGCTGTGAATCATCCTTAAGATCAGAAATAAAAGATAAGAGGCCCATTAATCTACAAATAAGTGATTCACAACCACTGAAGAAACCTGCAGCTAACTCTAATGATCATCCCTTTAGAGAAGAACCTATGTGTTCTCTTCCTAAGAGGCTTTCTAACTCAATGTATGTTGAAAAACCTGTAAATCAGGACCAAGCCACACATATTGTTATTCTAAAACCAAGTCTTCCGAAGACTCGAAAGGTTGAAAGAACTAATCGATCTGTTAAATCCTGGGATAATAGTATGTATGACGCTATGAACCACAGAGAATTTCTGAAGGAAGAAATAATGGAGTTATATCAAGAAGACAGAGGTAGGCTGAAATTTGACACTCTGGAAAATAGTAGACTGAGGGAAAAGGGCACTAATAAACTTCCGAAAGATGCTACACGAGAGATGAATAATTCAGCTATAGGAAGGAAGATTTCTGTTTCAAAATACAGTAACCATGTTGAGGATGATAGTCTGTGGCCTATGCCAAGCATCACAAATGGGATTAACTCTCTAACCTCTTATTGTATTTCTGATAATGTCTGTGAGTATGGTAAGAGTTTCAGCCCCTTATCATCTTCTTCCATTGACTCATCTGTTAATTTGGAGGCTAGTAAACACAGGTCTGAGCGGTGGAGGTTGAACCATGACGAAATTGGCCTTTCTATTAGAGAGTCTAGTACATTGGGTGAGATGCTAGCTTTATCTGACAAAGAGATATTAAATACAGCACATATTTCATCAGTTGTGAAGAAAGCTTGTCCTTTGAGTATCAGTAGTAAGGATGGTTGGAAAGATGGATTATCTAGGAATCTACCAAGGTCCAAATCTCACCCAGCATCATCTCTAGTTTATGAAAATTGTCAACATAGCTCTAGAGACAGATTTGTCGGCAGTAAAAGCAGGTTTATGCCCAAGAATATACAGAATGTGAGAAATGGAACGTTTGTAGATGAAGACCTAATTAAGCAAACGAATTCTTCACTAAGAAGTCTTCCAGAACACCAAAACAAAAGTAAGCTTCATTCAAATGGAAAAGGAGATAGATTACCTACACGAGAGATTTATGTGAGTTCAGTGGAACTTAAGCATAAAAACTCTGTGGTTTCCCTTGCTAAAGAGGAACATACAGCTTGTAATCTCTCTGATATTCATAACACTGGTGCAGTAAATATTTTTTCAGTTCCTTCTAGAAACATTGCTGTGCCTTCTCTCTTAACGAAAGACGAGGGATTGGAGAAGCTTCATAAAGTTAGAAGATCTGAAAGAAATGGTAAACATTCTGAGTTTGGGTTCGGTGATATGCTTTCAAAGGTCAGGTTGCTACTACACATCACTTTTTTTTATTCTAAACAAAAATATTGCTTAGTATTGCCTTACTTTCCTAACCTCCTTTATTCATCTATGCTCATAGACATACAAGTGTCATTGCATTTTAATGAAGCGTGTTTTTAGACCATAAAAAATTTTATATAACATATTATGGTATACTATATAATGTTGTACTATGCCTTTCAATTTTGTATTATACTATACTACGTTATTGTTGGATCCATAATTGCCCCTGAATCACACCAAACTTTACTAAGAATAATAAGTAACAAAAAGAGAATATGAGAGCAAAGAGAGAATAATTATAGAGAAAAAAGATATGTAATTTCAGTAAAATAAACTTGAGTACAAAAAATTGAGTCTTGAAAATAAATTAAGTAAAATTGCTCAGCTGAGCTTACCCCTTGACCTCTTATCTTTAGATTTGGTTTGAGTTGAGCATTATAGAATTGACTACATACATGACTATAAAAAATAAAAATAAAAAATGGAAATGTATGTAGTTAAATACTTACTTGATAAAGTTGTTTGCCAAGCAAAAAAGTCATCGACTCAGTAGATATTGATAGTCGAGCAGCTAATTAATAGAATCTTGAGAAGTCATCCCTCCTTGAGTAGTCACCTAGGCTGATGTTAGACCAGTCCCTCCTGGATCGGTCATTGGGTCGGTCCTTCCTGAATCGGCCCTCATCTACAACGGGTGGAGGAAAAAGTCTTGCACAGGACTCGCCTCAGCAATCAGAAGAGGGGGGCAAATCCCACCCCCTTGCAGTGGGGCCCAGGGAGCATTTTCAAAAGGGAGAGGGGGGATTAGGAGGGAAATTTAATATGAAATTGTACATTTGTTTCCTATCAAATTGGTATCAAATCAATCGATCTGGGTACCTATGGCTAGAAGAAAGTTAGAAGTGTTGGAAGGAGATATAAGACAATTGAAATCAGATTTTGTAGAAAATATTCAATTTCGAAAAATAATTTTCAGTCAACCATTAGAAGATCGATGGGAAGTTTTTCATCTTGGAGGAGATGTTGAAAAAGTTGCTCGAGGCCCAAACCCAAAACGACATCTTCGGAGGCAAGGGAAGCCTTCACCGGTTAAGAAAGTGAGGAAAACCCTAATCGAATAAGGCAATGAGAAGATCGGGAGGTGGAGATTTTGAAGGGATAAGAGATAATGCCTCCCCTAGAGCCTTTTCCTAGGGAGAAATCAAGTAGAGGGTTTGGGGTGAGGCGTAAGGGGGTCAGGCGTGAAAGAAGGGGTGTTAAATTTGAGAGAAGAGGGGAGGAATTTAGAAGGCGAGGGATTGATTATGACTGAAGAGGGCTGATTATGATTCAAGTGGTGCTGAATTTGAAAGGAGAATGTGAGAATTTGACGTAAGGTTTGAGTACGAGCGTATAAGAGATGATTGGGGCACTTGAGGGGAACCACCCTCTTGGGGAATGAGAAATTATGAAGAAAATAAGGGGAACAGAGGCGATCCTAGGGTGAGGAAGCTGAAGATGTCTATTTTTTAGGTAGAGGGCACATAGGTGGATATACAAGTTGGAAATGTATTTTACCGTCAATAGGTTGACGGAGGAGGAGAAGACTGAATGCAGTCAAGATGTGCTTGGAAAGGAAAGCATTGGCATGGTATCGATTGAGGGATACGAGGTGACCCATATGGACCTCAAGGGAGTTTATAAGTATTGTCTGTTGAAGTGTTTTACAATTAGTAGGGGATAAGAATTTTATGAGCAGTTATTCGCCCTGACACAGGAAGGGACAATGGTGGAGTACCGTGAGCAATTTGAGCATCTGGCTAGACGATTGGACAAGCTTTTGGAGATTGTACTGGAGGAGAACTTTATGAAAGGGCTCAAACTCGAGATTCAGGCGACAATTGGAGTGACGAGGCCTCGTGATTTGGGATAGTTCATGGAGCTAGCTCAATTAGTGGAGGATCAAAGGCACTTAAAGAGAGGGATTGGAGGCAGCAGCTCAGGAGGTTTGTACAGGATGACCACCACCTTTTTGGCACCCAAGGAGTCGACACCAAGTACTCTTAGGGAGACCCCAAAGGAGAAGACTATAAGAGGGAGACCTGGGGAAAACTTGAAGAAGCTCACAAAAATAGAGTTATAAAAGAAGAGGGCGAAGGGGCTTTGTTTCAGATGTGAGGAGAGGTATACACTAGGGCACCGATGTAAGGATTGATCTCTTAAGGTTCTAACCGTTTGTGATGATAAGGAAATTGAGGAGGGAGTTGTCTTTCCACCTTGCAGACAAGGTGGGTCTTTGGGGGGGGATTGTTACACCGTCGACCCTCATCTACAGTTGGCTAAAGAAACAGTTCCGCACAGGATTTGCTTTAGTAGGCGAAAGAGGGGGCAGACCCCGCCTCCCTTGCAGTGGGGCCCAGGGAGGGTTTTCAAAAGGGAGTTTTTTTTTTTTTTTTGTTTTTTTTTTTTTGGGTGGGGGGGGGGGGGGTTCGGATTAGGAGAGGAATTTATATTGAAGGGGCTATTTCGGAATGCATTATTTTGTTTTGCTTAGAAGTATTTAGTTCCTAGGGTTAAGGGTTAAGCTTAGGTTAATGTTTTGTTGCAAGATTGTAATGTTCTTAGGTGCTGGGCTCTAGCCGGCGTCAGGGATTTGGTTGGGGGGGGGGGATTGTTACACCGCGACCCTCATCTAACATTGCTACAGAAAAAGTACCGCACAAGATTTGCCTTAGCAGGCGAAAGAGGGGGCAACCCGCCTCCCTTGCAGGGGCCAGGGAGTTTCAAAGGGAGTATTTTTTATTTTATTTTTTTTTTGTGGGGGGGATTAGGAGGGGAATTTAATATGAAAGGGGCTATTACGGAATTGCATTATTTTGTTTGCTTTAAGTATTTAGTTCCCTAGTTAAGGTTAGGTAGTTATGTTTTGTTATCTAAGATAGTGTTCTTAGGGTGCTTGGGCTCTAGCCGCGTCTAAGGATTTGGGGGGGGGGAGATTGTTAGACCGTCGACCTTCAACAGTTGGCTAAAGAAAAAGTACTGCACAGGATTTGCCTCAGCAGGCGAAAGAGGGGGGCAGATCCCACCTCCCTTGCAATGGGGCCCAGGGAGGGTTTTCAAAGGGAGTTTTTTTTTTGGCTGGGGGGGGGGGGTGGGGGAGTAGCGTGGGAATTTAATACGAAAGGGGCTATTTGGGAATTGCATTATTTGTTTTGCTTAAGTAGTTTAGTTCTTGGGGTTTGGTATGTTTTGTTGCTAAGATGTAGTGTTCTTAGGGTGCTTTGGTCGTAGCCGCGTCTAGGAGATTTGGGAGAGCAATATCTTTCTTGCATAAATAGATCCAGCTATATCTTGAGTTTTATCTTCATTTATTTCAAATAAAATGTTCCTAGGCATTTTCCTTTCAATTTTTGTGTTTTATCCGTTGATTTTGCTTAAAATGCATTTGTTTCCTATCAGCCAACTATATTGATAGTAGTTCGTTAGGGTGACTTTAATATGAAGGGGCTATTTCGAGAATTGCATTATTTTTGTTTTGCTTAAGTAAGTTTAGTTCCCTAGGGTTAAGGTATGTTTTGTTTGCTAAGATTTTAGTTCTTGGGTGCTTTGGCTCTAGCCGGTGTCCAGGGATTTTTTTGTGGGGAATTTAATACGGGGCTATTTGGGAATTGCATTATTTTGTTTTGCTTTAAGTAGTTTAGTTCCTTGGGGTTATGGTTATGTTTTGTTTGCTAAGATTGTAGTGTTCTTAGGGTGCTTTGGGCTCTAGCCGACGTCTAGGGATTTGGGAGAGCCATATCTTTCTCTGCAATTAAAGATCCAGCTATATCTTGAGTTTATCTTCATAATTCTTTCAATAAAATTGTTCCTAGGCATTTTTTCTTCAATTTTTTGTGTTTTTATCCGTTGAATTTGCTTAAATTTTGTTTCCTATCAGCCAACTATATTGATAGTAGTCGTTAGGTTGACTATTTAATATGAAAGGGGCTATTTCAAGATGCATTATTTTTTTTGCTTTAAGTAGTTTAGCCCTAGGGTAAGGTTATGTTTTGTTTGCTAAAATTTAGTGTTCTTTAAGGGTGCTTTGGGGCTCTAGCCGTGTTCCAGGGATTTTTTTTTGGGCGAGACCCTCATCTACAGGTCTGGCAAAGAAAAAGTACTGCACAGGATTTGCCTTAGCAAGCGAAAGAGGGGGCAATCCCCACTCCCTTGCAGTGGGGCTAGGGAGGTTTCAAAAGGGAGTGTTTTTTTTTTGTGTGGGGGGGGGGGGGTGGAGTAGGTGGGAATTTAATATGAAAGGGGCTATTTGGGAATTACTTTTATTTTGTGTTTGCTTTAAGTGTTAGTTCCATAGGTTAAGGTTATGGTTATGTTTTGTTTGCTAAGATTGTAGTGTTCTTAGGGTGCTTTGGGCTCTAGCCGGCGTCTGGGAGAGAGCCGAATCTTTCTCTGCAATTAAAGATCCAGCTATATCTTGAGTTTATCTTCATAATTCTTTCAATAAAATTGTTCCTATGCATTTTTCCTTTCAATTTTTTGTGTTTTTTCCGTTGATTTTGCTTAAAATGCATCTGTTTCCTATCAGCCAACTATATTGATAGTAGTCATTAGGGTTGACTAATGAACTTTGCTTGTTCGATGAGACAAGTTTTTTTATTATGATCACCTACTTAAGGCAAATTCTCTTGTAAGCCAACAATATTAGATTAAGTATATTGGGTTATCATGACTTCAACTAGTTTGATTTATCTTGAATTGAATTGACTTAGCTTGAATTGGATTTTGTAGATAGTTGAATGTACAATTGTACTACTATACCATAGTCCATGACAACATATATATTATTAATGCTTAATGTTGTTACTCTACTATATATTCTACTATACTTTAGTATATTATTATATAATTATATTATATTATATTGTACTAATACTATATTGTATTGTACTACACTAATTAATTATACTCTGCTTTATTTTATTATATATATATATAATATTATAATATTAATATATATATATATAATATATATTATATTATATATTATATATACTAAGCTATAGCATACTAAACTATATTATAGAATACAATACAGTTATTAGAAAAGACCTAAATCCTTAGCAAACTTTTAAATTTATTTTTAGTGCTCATTTAATTGCACGAAGGTAAGAATTATATTATATTTTAAGAAGTAATGATTTCAGTTTTACTTATTTTGTGTAAATTAGTATTAATTACATTGAGAGATTTTGAAAGTATTTGGGGAGTTCAATTTTATATATAGTCCATGAACTAAAATGGGATTAATTTTGTATCCCAATTTCTATTATTTTCTACCAGATGAGCTTTTGAGATCAATTTTGTATAGTTGGACTAAATTGGAAAAACGTGATCTACCTATGAATAGAGAGGGACTATTTTGAACTTTTTTTAAGTTCAAAAGCAATAATCATTTCTTGCTACATTCAAATAACAACAACCAATTAAATTCATTATTTTTCCAAATATGATTTTAATCTCGAGAAACCAAATTGGCCTTAGGATATAACAAATGACTTCTACACATCCAGATAATTATCGTTTAAGGCGTTAAGAGTTTTACTTATTGCTAAAATTCTTCATGCGTATGTGTATGTGACTTTTTCCGCCAGTACATTTACTCGTATGTTTTGCTTTATTGTAGATCATTTTTCTTTTAGCAAGGAGTCTTGTGACCTTGGTATAAAACTTGCTTGCATATATATTTGGTTCGGGACTGGGAAAATCTTCAAATTAACGAGCAAATTCTTAAAAGTTTTTCCTCAATAATCTTGTGGTATATCTCCATGCAGCAAGCATCAAGTGATCATGGTATGAATGAGCTTTTCCCTTCCTACTGCACTAAATCAGTATCAATTTCTTCTGATATGTACAAGGAGGCAGACCAACCAAGTCCAGTTTCAGTTTTAGAGCTTTCATCTAAAGAGGACAAGTCTACTTCAGGATGCTTTAAGAACATTAGCTCCGATCTTCAAGGTAAATAAGAGTAGCTGGACTTCTGTCATTAAATCCTTCCCATTATCTTGCATTATTTCAAATTGTTACATAAACCATTCCTTTGTCGCAGAGCTTCGGATGCAGCTTCAATTTCTGAATTTCGACTCGACGGATAGTTTTGCAGAGGAAATTGATGCATTTATCTCCTTTGATGAGGATTCTAGAGATCCCGTCTTTCAATTAGGAGACATACTCCAAGCCTTCAGAGATGAAGAGGATAGAGACTACTCATACCTTCTTGACATGCTCATTGATTCTGGATTTCTTAAGTCAGAGAAAATCGGGCTTTTCAATGCACTTCAATTGTCTGAACTTCCAGTTTCTGTAGATGTCTTCAACAAGCTTGAGAAGAAGTACAAATCAGTAGAGTCATGGTCAACATCAGAAAGAAAACTCTTATTTGATCTTATAAATTCTACATTAGCTGACATTTCTGCTATGTTATTTATGAATAAATCAAGCCTATGCTGGCAGTCCAAGATGGCTCATGAAGGTCCTGTTGAGAAAATATGGCAGGCTGTGATCAAGTGCAGGAAAGAGGTAAGTAACAGCTTTTTAGAAGAGAATCTCATTGAACAAAGATGGTTTGAAGTAAGGAATGACTCAGAAGTGGTAGGTAGAGAACTGGAGAATATGTTGTCCGAACATCTCATCGATCAGCTACTTAAAGAGCTTATCTATATGTAGACTAATAGTCATCCTGAAGAACTGTAGTGGGAATCCAGTCTAATTAAAGCTTTTCTTTCTCCTCTTCATGTCAAGCATGGAGTTCTTGTACTGAGGATTCAACAGACAAATCTGTATGGAATGCACACAAATTATGCATCTTGTTAGAGCTCACTTAACAAAGAAGGTTCGACTAACATTTTCTCAGCTTTGTATATTTTTCAACCAAATGTAAGTTGCTGTGACTTTAAAGTGTGTAATTTGATAAAAATGTATGAAAGGATTGAAGGCTTTATAATTGTAGCATATGTAAAGGTAGGAAATTGAATGTTTGATCATTGTTGTGTGTTGTAATATAGTGATGGTATACAAGGAGAAATTATTATTTTGGTTTTGATTTATGATTCTTTAATTTTGAATTATAAAGTGGCTCTCCCCCCTAAAGTTGAGATTTGTAATTTTTATTATTAGCTTAGGTTGTAGTGAAAGCTTCTTAGGGATGCGATGAATAAAATATTGAGGTGCTAATGCACGTGCACGGCGATTGAGATATGTGGGGCCTATTTGGGATGGTTATAGTTTTTTGTTAAGATGGTTTTGTGAAGCTATTGTGTGAAATGTAAGTTTTTGGGAGGTTATTGTGAAAAATTAATCTCTAGCACAACATTTCTTCAAAGCAATGAGAAAGTAATAGTCAAATAAAATTATGGTGATGATTTGAAAAGTAAAGAAATAAGAGATTTGTTTCGATCAGACCATCTCCTCGAAAGAAGAAGAGGGATTGGATAATAGACTATTAAGGGCAAGTAGAAGAATGTTCTTTTTCTTGATAGGAGAGAGAATGGGATGCCCTTCAATGAAATAGATATTTAGCTCTATTTCATGTGTCCAACCAAATGTAATCAATGCATATTTATATAAATATCAAAATTTGGCATTTTTAATTTTTTTTTTTGGAATCTTCCAAATCCATATTTGTATTAGATGGTCAAGATTTGGAAGTTGAATAGATTAGCATAAGAGGTATAAAATATACTTAAATTCACAAAATGTAATCATTTAAGACTTTATTTTCGACAATAATTTATTTTTAATTTTTTTTAAAAGAAAAAATTATCAAAATTAAGAATTTCATTATTATTATTTGAATGTATTTATTAAAATAATGATTATGTTTTTCTAGTATTTTGAGTATGGCTATCAAAATAAAATATTTGGTTATTAAAAGCTTCAAAGTTTTAGTGATATTCATTTCTGTGTCAAATCACATTTTATCTTATTTAACATAAAATTTAGTACTCTCAAATAATAATAAATTTATTTACTATTCATATATTTAATACCGCATATACAAAATAATGAATGAAAGATTATGTAATCTTTGGGTTTGAGTAGCTTTAATTAATGACCTCAGAATGATCTGATAGGACATAATTATTTTTTGTTTGCTTTTAAATAAACTTATTATTTTTGTAAGATTGTGAAAGAAAAAAAAAGTTAATTATAATGGTATTAGCATTTATGTTTTGAAATTTACAATCAAATGTGCCACTTTTTTGCTTTTAATTGCAAGTTAAGTGTTTTGAATAATCAAAATTTGAATGTTATGTATGTATTTTATTTTAGTTGATTATTTGCAAAACATCTAAATATTATCTATTTATAAAAGTACATAAATACTTGCATATGTCTTCATAGGTATTTAGCAGGATAATGACGAGTTACAAGGAGATAACTTGCGTCTGACGAGCCCCATAGAGGAACTCGTTAAAGGAACATCATACTCCACTCGCCTTGGCCTATGAAGGTAGGTCACCCCTTTCGGTGGCCATGAACTAACTTGTAAATAACCTCATAGAAAGAAGGCATCCACTACAACCATTTGCCCCCATCTTAGGTAGGTGTCATTTTTCCCACACCTCCAAGAACAACTATAGGAAGCACTTATTCATAGGGTCCTCAAATCACCCTGTCATAATTAGCCAACCATTGAATGCATCTTTCACGTAACCTCAACTCATTCCTCTTTCATTCTAAGAAGTTCAAGGCTTAGCATAGGTTGCCAGCAACTCCCAAACATCCCTCACTTATTAAGCACCCTTTGCTCGGAACTCATTTGTTGACTCGCCAACTCCTGCTTATCACTACCAAGTTCGCCCACACTACGGAGCTCACCTAGTGCATACTAAACAACATTGAACTCTTCCGGAGACTAATAATTAGAGTTTTGCGTTCTCTCTCCCTTAAACGATTAGGAGCCCATACATATCTAAGGACTAAGGTCATTTGCGTAGCATTGTATAGTTTTTTATTATTTATTTTTTAGGGTGTAACTTTTCATGCAATATTCAAAATTTTATAAGGGATGATGAGGTGCGTTTTGAATCTTTGGATTTTTGGTCTCATGAATTTTAGGAGTGAATAAAATTTTGAGCATTTTTATTATAGCTTTTTTCTAGTATTTCTTTTCGTTTCCATTTTCACACATGCTCCTTGTTACTCTAATGATTTGCCAACTAATAAGGTCGGGTGTCATCCACAAATAAATTTGAACCCAACAATACTATCTTCCTATCGCTATTTTTTAAGTAGATACTCAATTATTAAAAATAAAAAAATTACAACACTTGTTTATTTCTTTGCCGAAAATAAAAATATTTTTTAAATAATTTTATTCAAATGCTTTTCAGAAAAAAAAAAGTTTTTTTTTTTTCTTATTATGACACTCTTCAACAAATAACAATACACATAATTGATGATATTTCAACAAATTTATTCATTATAATATAATATTGCCCTTAATAACATTAGGTTATAACACCAATAATACATTTTTCGAACGATTCTTGCGGCTAATAAAGCCCGCTAGACGCCAAATGATGGGAAAGAGGATTTGGCTCTTTCGGGAAGAGGCCACGACGTCCAATTAATGGAGTAGCATTATTTCTACTGGAATCCGGCTTCCATGGAGGCGGCGGCGGGAGCGAGGGCCCGGAAGGAGGAACTATTCTTCTAGCCAGGTGGTAGCGGTCATCGACTTCGACTTCGTCGGCGGGAAATAGCCGGCGAGCCGAAGATTCGGTGGCGGAGAGGAGGACCAAGGCGGCGACGGCGGCGAGGAGGAGGATGGATGATCGCGCCATGACTGTCAGGGTATAAGTGATGTAAAGTATAATTTTTTGGTGGTATAAGAGTAATATTAATCTTTTAGGTGTTAGATATGTAAATGACTACAAATATAGTGGTATGCATGTAAAAATCCCTTATTTATATTGGATGTTGTCGATACAGATTTAGGGATTACTAATTATATATAATCTTCAAATTATAGTAATTTACAGTTTAAAAGATTTCTCCATTAATTTAATAGCTATGAAAAGGCTGTTAAAACCGTGTCGATTGTGGTGGGAAATTTTCCCCAAATTCGGGTGCACTAACTTTTACAGTTTACTAATCTTATGCTTAAGATTTTGGGTGCTTACCGTTCTTAAAAAAAAAAAAATGCTGTAAAGGGTGGGCTTCTCGTGGAATTTGCATTTTACTGTACCAGAATCATTTGAAAATCAATAAAATTTTGAAGTACAAATTTTTGTTTTCAATTTTACACAACGGAGGAAAATGATTCATGTAGCAGATCTCAAGTAATGGGATAAAGATTTGATGTTGTTGTTATTGTAATTTTGTTTTGATTTTCTTCATTCTTAGCAAGTTGGGTCACCTGCTGAATAACGATTGATTTTCTTCAAATTGTTAAGAGAATTCATATTTATATTTCTTGCAATGATTAGAATATATTTCTTGCAATGATCAAATTCTAGGTAAAAGTACTAATAATTGTAAATTCAATATTCCCATGATTTGGAATTCAATAAGAGCAAAGAGTGCTTCTTCTATTTTTGGTTTGCTTTGGCACTAAAGTATTACTTTTTCTTAGGGACATTTAGGCCTCGTTTGAGATGGATTAATTTCACCTTTTCAGTTTCGAGACGGTGGAAATTTTTTGTTGTTGTTATTTATATGTGTCACTTGTCACGACCCGGCTCGACTAGCCCGATAATAACGGAGCGGGAACAGTCGATCGTATGAATAACGCATATAAAACATAATCAAATTCATTAAAACTCTAATGTCCGTACATAAACATCATCCAACATCATAAGAAAGAGCCGCTAAATAACATCAACTGAATTGTTTTAAACTGTTCTTCTCACACAATTACTAAAACTTTTAAATCAATAACAGTTACATAAGCTCCAACAAACTACACAAATACAAAATAAAGACTCAACATAAAACATAAAAGAAACCTCTCTTCATGAGGTCCTCTACGACGGTATGTGTATGGTCGTCGTGCAGCCATCACTTCTTAACATTTTCTCCTGAAAAAGATTTTCTCAAATGTAGGATGAGCCAACGCTCAACAGGTGAAAAATATTTATTTCAGATTTATGAAATATTTTTCTTAACATATCATTAAACATGAATTAAAAAAAGGACCAGTATAAACATTGATACATGAATTCATAAAATAATTTAAGAGTTTGACCTGACACCAAAAGGGAAGCTCTTAGGCCAAAGCGGACAATATCTCGATAGTTAAGAGTTTGGACTGTCACAAATGATATCAGAGCAATACACAAGTCTGAAGATAGGAGCTAAGTGTCGTACAAGATAAAGTGCTGCGCCATATGAGCCACCTCTTGAACCCTATGTGGGACAAAGTGCTACATTATGGGAGCCACCACTTGAGCTTGTAGGGGCCACCTTTATAATCTTATCTTCTTGGTGGATAATTCTGGGATACATATTCTGACGAGGACACCAGTTACTTAAGTGGGGAGATTGTGAAACCCCTTAAGTAATAGAAAGTCTAACTCTTAAACATCGAGGTGACTTTTGGTGTAATGGCTGGAATTTCCGAAAGAAACTCCGTATTTAAGCATGCTAGTCCCAGAACAATTCTAGGATTGGTGGCCTACTGGGAAGTTACACCAAAAGAGCAAAATCGTGAGTCTCTTAGGTCAAAGCGGACAATATCTCGATAGTTAAGAGTTTAAGCTGTCACAACCACCAAGTTTGCCCACACTATGGAGCTCACTTAGTACATACTCAACACCATTGAACTCATACGGAGACTAATAATTAGAGCTTTGCATGCTCTCTCCCTTAAATGATTAGGAGTCGATACATATCTAAGGACTAAGGTCGTTTGCGTAACATTGTACTGTTTTTTTTTTTTACTTTTAGGGTGTAGCTTTTCGCGCAATATTCAAAATTTTATAAGGGATGATGGGGTGCATTTTGAATCTTTGGATTTTTGGTATCTCATGAATTTTAGGAGTGATTAAATTTTTGAGCATTTTTATTTTACCTTTTCTCTAGTATTTCTTTTTCGTCTCCATTTTCACACAGGCTCCATGTTACTCTAACGATTTGTCAACTAATAAGGTCAGATGTCATCCACGAATAAATTTGGACCCAACAATACCATCTTCATATCGCTATTTTTTTAAGTCAATACTCAATTATTAAAAATAAAAATAAAATCACAACGCTTGTTTATTTCTTTGCCGAAAATAAATTTTTTTTAAAAAAAAATTAATCAAATGCTTTTTGGAAAAAAAAACTTATTATTATGACACTCTTCAACAAATAACAATGCACATAATTGATGATATTTCAACAAATTTATTCATAATAATATAATATTGCCCTTAATAGCATTAGGTTATAACTTATAACACCAATAATATATTTTTCGAACGATTTTTGCGGCTAATAAAGCCCGCTAGCGCCCAAATGATGGGAAAGAGGATTAGGCCCTTTCGGGAGGAGGCCACGGCGTCGAATTAAATGGAGTAGCATTATTTCTACTAGAATCCGGCTTCCATGGATGGGGCGGCGGGAGCGAGGGCCCGGAAGGAACTCTTCTCGCCAGGTGGTAGCGGTCATCGACTTCGACTTCGCCGGCGGGAAATAGCAGGCGAGCCGAAGATTCGGTGGCGGAGAGGAGTACCAAGGCGGCGACGGCGGCGAGGAGGAGGATGGATGAGCGCGCCATGACTGTCAGGGCAATGAAAGGTATGTATGGAGAATTGGGGTTTATGATTTATGATTTGTCGAGCTTTTTCTTTTGAATTGGAGATTTATTTATATTGGATGTTGTCGATACAGATTTAGGGATTACTAATTATATATAATCTTCACATTATAGTAATTTACAGTTTAAAGGATTTCTCCATTAATTTAATAGCTATGAAAAGGCTGTTAAAACCGTGTCAATTGTGGTGGGAAATTTTCCCCAAATTCGGGTGCACTAACTTTTACAGTTTAGTAATCTTATGCTTTATTTTTGGTGCTTATCGTTCTTTTAAAAAAAAAAATTGCTGTAAAGGGTGGGTTCCTCGTGGAATTTGCATTTTACTGTACCAGAATCATTTGAAAATCAATAAAATTTTGAAGTACATTTTTTTTTTCAATTTTGTTTTGATTCTCTTCATTCTTAGCAAGTTGGGTCACCTGCTGAATACTGATTGATTTTATTCAAATTGTTAAGAGAATTCATATTGATATTTCTTGCAATGATCAAACTCTATTTAAAAGTAATAATAATTCTAAATTCAATCTTAGGATGGTTTGGAATTCAATAAGAGCAAAGAGGGCTTCTTGTATTGTTGGTTTTTTTTTTTTTTCTGGCACTAAAGTATTACTTTTATTAGGGACATTTAGACCAATTAAGATAAATTCATGCACAGATCAGTTACAATAAAATATGTTGTCTAAAAATATTTATCTCAAATTTATGAAATATTTTTCTTAATATATCATTAAACATGAATTAAAAAAAGGACCAGTATAAACATTGATACATGAATTCATAAAATAATTTAAGAGTTTGACCTGACACCAAAAGGGAAAAATTGTGAGGCTCTTAGGCCAAAGCGGACAATATCTCGATAGTTAAGAGTTTGAACTGTCACAAATGATATCAGAGCAATACACCAGTTAGAAGATAGGAGCTAAGTGTCGTACAAGGTAAAGTGCTGCGCCATGTGAGCCACCTCTTGAACCCTATGTGGTACAAAGTGCTACATTACGGGAGCCACCACTTGAGCTTGTAGGGCCACCTCTAGAGTCTTATCTTCCTGGTGGATGATTCTGGATACAGATTCTGACGAGGACACTAGTTACTTAAGTGGGGAGATTGTGAAACTCCTTAAGTAATAGAAAGTCCAACTCTTAAACATCGAGGTGCCTTTTGGTGTAATGGCTGAAATTTCCGAAATAAACTCTGTAGTTAGGCATGCTCATCCCAGAGCAATTCTGGGATTGGTGGTCTATTGGGAAGTTACAACAAAAGGGCAAAATTATGAGTCTCTTAGGCCAAAGCGGACAATATCTCGATAGTTAAAAGTTTGAGCTTTCACAACTACCAAATTTGCCCACACTATGGAGCTCACTTACTACATACTCAGCACCATTGAACTCATACAAAGACTAATAATTAGAGCTTTGCATGCTCTCCCTTAAATGATTAGGAGCCGATACATATCTAAGGACTAAGGTCATTTGCGTACCATTGTCTGTTTTTTTTTTTTTTTTTACTATTAGGGTGTAGCTTTTCGTGCAATTTTCAAAATTTTATAAGGGATGATGGGGTGCATTTTGAATCTTTGGATTTTTGGTATCTCATGAATTTTAGGAGTGTTTAAATTTTTTAGCATTTTAATTATACATTTTCTCTAGTATTTCTTTTTCGTCTCCATTTTCACACAGGCTCCATGTTACTCCTCTAACGATTTGCCAACTAAAAAGGTCGGATATCATCCACGAATAAATTTGGACCCAACAATACCATCTTCATATCGCTATTTTTTAAAGTCAATACTCAATTATTAAAAATCAAAATAAAATCACAATATTTGTTTATTTCTTTGCCAAAAATAATTTTTTTTAAATTATTTTAATCAAATGCTTTTTGGAAAAAAAAAAAACTTATTATTATGACACTCTTCAACAAATAACAATACACATAATTGATGATATTTCAACAAATTTATTCATAATAATATAATATTGCCCTTAACAGCATTAGGTTATAACACCAATAATATATTTTTCGAATGATTTTTGCGGCTAATAAAGCCCGCTAGCGGCCAAATGATGGGAAAGAGGATTTGGCCCTTTCGGGAGGAGGCCACGGCGTCGAATTAAATGGAGTAGCATTATTTCTACTAGAATCCGGCTTCCATGGATGGGGCGGCGGGAGCGAGGGCCCGGAAGGAACTCTTCTCGCCAGGTGGTAGCGGTCATCGACTTCGACTTCGCCGGCAGGAAATAGCCGGCGAGCCGAAGATTCGGTGGCGGAGAGGAGTACCAAGGCGGCGACGGCGGCGAGGAGGAGGATGGATGAGCGCGCCATGACTGTCAGGGCAATGAAAGGTATGTATGGAGAATTGGGGTTTATGATTTATGATTAGTCGAGCTTTTTCTTTTGAATTGGAAATTTATTTATATTGAATGTTGTCGATACAGATTTAGGGATTACTAATTATATATAATCTTCACATATAGTAATTTACAGTTTAAAAGATTTCTCCATTAATTTAATAGCTATGAAAAGGCTGTTAAAACCGTGTCGTTTGTGGTGGGAAATTTTCCCCAAATTCGGGTGCACTAACTTTTACAGTTTACTAATCTTATGCTTTATTTTGGTGCTTATCGTTCTTAAAAAAAAAATTGCTGTAAAGGGTGGGTTCCTCGTGGGCATATAAGTTAAAATTTAGGGATTTTTACATACATAACACTTAAATCTCTCTATTTACTTATCTAACACCTAAACTTTAATATTTACTCTTCTACCACCTAAAAGCTCTATCCCTCCTCAAATATAACACTCCGTTTCTCTCCCGTCAGAACCAACCCCTGAAAGCTGTATTTCGCGCGGGAATTTCTTCTCCGATGATGCGGCAGTGGCAAGAGTTGGTGCTAGCCTTCAATGATGTGGCGACTGCCGCTCAGCCTTCTCGGGACGTTAGGCATCAGCCTCCTCCAAATCAACGGCCGCTACTTGATAGCATCAAAGCCATACGTCCCCAAAATCCAGGTCCCGTCCACCATGAATCTGCGCATGCATTTCTCAAAGTTCTCATATCAAAGGTAGCATCTAATTTCACCTTTTCAGTTTCGAGACGGCAGAAATTTATTGTTGTTGTTGTTTATATGTGCCACTTTTGCATAAATGCTTGTTAGAGAACATTATTTTTTTATTGTTTTCAAAAGCTTTATAGTACTAACTTCCCCATTAGAAAAATCCGTTCTCTCAAACAACAGTTTTAAAACTACCTTTTAGGAAAAGTGCAGAATAACCAAATGAAGCCTCGTACCAATTAAAACAAACTCATAGACATATATCGAATTTAAGACCTTTTGATTGGTAGTCAAAATTTTCAACCAACAGATTAAAATGCTATCAATTTTTCAATTTCTATTTTCTGTTGAAGATTGTTAAGAAAGTTTGTGCCGATGGATGAAGCGATGCAGCAATTCAATTTTTTCCTTGGTTTCTAAGTGTGCTTGCTGTTCCAATATTGAATCCTTTCCGCATGTGTTTTTGAATGTTGCTGAGATTATGGTGCGGAAGAGATTTGTTGATATTTTTAACTTGGCTATTTCTGAATTTCAGAATGATGCTGAAATGTTCAGCATGTGGAAAATCTTCAACTCCATATAAGGCTGGAATTTTTATACCATTGTACATTTGGTGGTTCACTTGGCTTGAAAGGAATGATTGCAAATACCAAAATTCAAAGTTCAATCATTTAAGATTCATTTGGAAAATCATTCGAAATTGCCAGTGTTGATGTGCCGTCTAAAAATATTCTGTAAGATGAAGGATCTTTTGGCTGTAGAGAGATTTGCTGAGTGCTCTGGGATATTTTGGCGATCCTAGGGTTTCTTCGCTCTGACCTCCGCGCCGACTCGTTCCTCCGATCGGGAGAGGTAAGTCCTCTCCCTGATGGAGATGAACGAATTCCCCCCTCTTCATAACTCTTTTTTTTTTTTTTTTGAGAAAATTATGATCTTAGTCCTTTTCATTAATATAAACTTGTTACATGTAATGAAGAAGAAAAAATAACATTAAAGAAAAGTAAAGATCTTGCCAAAGCTTTCAAGATCCAAAAAGGGGCAAAAAACAAAAAACAAAAAACCCACAACAAAAACAATAAAATTAAGAAAAACAGCGGCAAAAAGAAATATACAGGAACAGAAGAAAGCAAAGAAGGAAGAGGGAGACAATTAAGCCACGGGCTCAGGAATTGCCACTCTCTCAATCTAGTTGCAAAAATGAATCCCAAAATTCCTGCCATCCAAAGAAGAAAATGATAATCCTAACATCATTGCCCATTTTCACACGAAAAACCAACCATACCAGCCATTGAAGCCTTGAGAAGAAAAAACGCCATTACAGCATAGCCAAAGGCAGCTGTACAATAACCAAACTTCTTACAACAAGTCAATCAAATTACCACCCTATTTCCACTTAAGAATTTTAGAGAAAACTGCAGTGGGAAAATTTCACATTTGTTGAGATTACTTAGTGGCTTAAACCAGTTGTGGGTGAGATTAAGATTTTATTTGGGATAACTTTCTTACAACTTTCTAAAGCAGCTTTTTATTTCAAAATTTGAACTAAATTTATTTGTACAAAATTTCTAATTGAAAAAAAATATACTAACAAATAGTTTAATAAAACAGTAAGAAAGTCATTTTAAATGAAATATTAGACTTCGTTTGAGACAGCTTTTTTATTATTTTTTAAATAATTTCCTAATTTAAAAATTAAAGTTTTTATACTAAAAAACTGCTTTAAAAAGCAGTAAGAACCATCTCAAACAAAATCTTAAGCTTCATTTGGGATAACTTTCTTATTACTTCTTAAAACAATTTTTAATAAAAAAATTATTTTATAAAACAGAAAAAAAGTAATTTACATGATTCTAATTTAGTCACTGAAGTTTCCTCTTCTCCCTCCTCTTCTGGAAACAAAAATCATACTTCACCGGTCTCTATGTCTACTAGAGCCAAGTCGGCCAGGAAGGGGAAAAACTCTAAACATTAATGTTTTTTCCGAATATTGGCTGTTGGAATGTTAGGGGTTTCAATAACCCTAACAAGGTTAAAGCTTGTAGAGAGCTGGTTATGGCTAATAATCTCGGTTTATTGTGCATTTTAGAAGCTAAAGTAAACAATGAGTCGATTAATGACCTTTGGTTTGTCAATTCACATAAGATTTTTAATACGGAAGAAAGTATTAATAACTTTGAGCATTCTAATCCAGGTAGGATCTGGATTAAATGGAACCCGTCTATTATCACCTTCTCTCCCCTCTTTATTGCTTCACAAATCATACATGGCACTGTCAATGTTGGTACTCAACCTCCCGTTTTAATTTCTGTTATTTATGCTGCTAATAATGTTAATGATAGGAACATTTTATGGGATCAGTTGAGAAATCTGGTGCCGGATCCCTCTATGGCCTGGGTTATCATGGGTGATTTTAACTGTTATAGATCTGAGGATGAGAAATCCGGAGGCCAGAATTCCCATAATAGTCAGTTGGGTGAGCTTAACAAAGTCATTTTTGATTGTGGTCTTCTTGATTTAGCTTCTGTTGGACTTTTTTATACCTGGTATAACCAAAGACTTGATTCTCCTATTCATATTAAACTAGATAGGATGCTTACGAACAATGCTATGCTTGAGAGGTTTCATGATGCTTTTTATAAAGTTCTTCCTACTCATAACTCTGATCATTCTCCTTTAATTTTAGCTGTTTCTAACTGTGAAAAAAATCCGTCTAGATTCATGTTTAAAAACTACTAGGTTAACATGGAAGGGTTTTGGGAGACTGTTCTTAATTCCTTTGATAGACATTTTAATTGTAGTTCTATTACTGCTTTTTATAAATCTCTGCAGATTCTTAAAATTTCTCTTAAGAGTAAAAATTGGTCTTCTTCCTGCTATCTTTTAGACGCTATTAATGATTTAAAGTATAAGCAACAACAATATATTGTGGATTTGCAGGAGAACCCGTTGAACAGGAATTTAAATTTACTTTATAAACAGTCTTGTGACAATCTGAATATTCTTAGCAATGCTTGGACCTCTTGGTTGTCCCAAATAGCTAAGACTAATTGGCTAAGGAATGGTGAGAATGATCTTGGTTTTTTATTTGCTCATATAAGATCTAGAAACAATATTAATGTCATCAAAGAGATCTCTACCTCTGAGGGCAAGTTTGATAACAAGGCTAGTATTGCTGATGCTATCATTAAACATTTTAAAGAAGTTTTTAACTCTCCCAAACCTGTTAATGAGAATGATTTCAATATTCCTGTTGGCAACATTATACCCTCGAATTTAGTTGATTCTTTAACTTTGCCGTTTACTGATTTAGATATTAAAAATGTGGTGTTTAACGGTTCCTCTTCCTCTGCCCCTGGTCCTGATGGGTATACGTTTGATTTTTATAAAAAGTCTTGGCATATTATTGGGCATAAGTTATGCAAAGCTATTAAAAGTTTTTTCACTTCTTGTCACCTTCCTAAAGGGGTGAAAGCTTCGGCTATTACTCTTATTCCTAAAAAACCGCATGCTTCTAATATTAATGATTACAGGCCTATTTCGTTATGCAATGTTTTTTATAAAATTATTGCTAAGCTTTTGGCTAATCGCATGAAGACGGTCTTACCTTTTATTATTCACGAGAGCCAAGCGGGGTTCATTCATAACAGAAGCACCAATGACAACATTCTGCTTGCTTCTGAAATGCTTAGAGAATTTAATTTTAACAGCAATCTTTTTTGTGCTAAGCTAGATATCAAGAAGACTTTTGATACTGTCTCTCGTAATTTTCTGATTAATAGGATGAGGCATAAAGGTTTTCCTGATGTGTTTATTAATTGGATTAAATGCTGTATTTCTAATGTGCATTTCTCTATTTGCCTGAACGGGTCCTTGGAGGGGTTTTTTAACTCCTCCTCTGGCCTGAGTTAAGGGTGTCCTTTATCACCCCTTTTGTTCTGTATTGTTATGGATGCCCTCTCTTGCAGTCTCACGTCGAAAAATTTGGGAAATAATAATCCTGTTTTTAATATTAATGGCAAGAATTTTAATCACCTTATGTACGCTGATGATCTTCTTGTTTTCGGGATGGCCAAAACTCAAAATGCTTCTAACCTTATGAATATTCTTACTGATTTTGCTGATTATTCCGGTCTCAACATCAATCCCACTAAAAGCTCTATTATTTTTTCCAATAACACTGCTGATACAGATCAATTTTGTAACATTTTGGGTATTACGCAAAGGAGTAGTTTCCTTATCTGGGGATTCCAATTTCTCCTGAAAGGGTGAAAGCTAATCAATTCCAAGTGCTTTTAGATAAAATCATTTCTCTTCTTGAAGGCTGGAAGGTGAGATTTCTTTCTTTAGCTGGTAGAGTTCAGTTTCTTAAATTCACTATTTCAAATACTCTGGCCTACTAGATCAAAGGATCTATCATACCTAAAGCTATTTGTAAGACTATCAGCAAGCTTTGTTCTAAATTTTTATACCATGGGAGCATTAATGGTAAGAAAGTCCATATGATTGCTTGGGAGAATACGGTTATACCAAAGCAAAAAGGCGGTTTAGGTATATTTTCTATTGATGCTTGTTACTATAGTTATCAATGCACTTTCATTTGGAATATGCTTTCTCGGGATAGTTTGATTTATTCTTGGTTCAAAAGCAAATACCACTCCCCCTGGAAGCCCCCGGCTGCCAAAGCCTCAAAATTTTGGAAACTTATTTGTTCAACTGCTTATAAAATTAAGGATCATTTAGCTTTAAATGTTAATTCTAATTCCAAGTTTTCATTATGCTGGGATCCGTGGATAAAAGGGAAGTCTTTATCTGAATTTTTTCAGATAAATCAAAGGTGCACTGGTTTATCTGTTAATAGTTGTATTAAGGACAATGTTTGGGACCTTCCAGACTATATTCCCGATAATATGAGAAATGTAATTTGCGCCATTGAGATTAAAGAGCAACCGGCTTTGGCTTGGGAGGGCTCTTTAAACCCGAAATTTACAAATTTTTTGAATTCTTATTATGCTCATTTAGAGGAGGTGAACTGGCACAAATATGTGTGGTATAAATCTTACTCGCTTAGATATTCTATTCTAATTTGGATGGCTATTCTGCAGAAACTGAAAGTTGCAGATTTGTTAATCAAAAAATCTATCCAGGACAATCCGATTTGCTGTTTTTGCAACAATGTCCAGGAAGATCACAATCATCTTTTCTTTAACTGTGATTTTACTTTTAATGTCATTAACAAGCTTATTCCTGAATTAAACTCTTTCTTACTTAGACCAAATTTGATTCAGGTCTTTGATTACATGGATAACCAGCTACTTATGTCCAAATGGGAAAAGAATTTCTGCTGGCTAATTATAGGATGCACCGTGTATCATCTTTGGAGAGAAAGGAATAATCACAAATTTGCCAACAAATGAAATGATTCGGAGAACATCATCATTACTATAAAAAATGCTATTCGGGTCAAAACTTGCACCTGGAAGCATTACCATCACCTCATTGAAAAATTTCAATTCAACTGAAATCTTGGCCTTGCCTCATCTGGCTGGAGCGGGAAATCTCAAGTTGCTGTTTTGATTCATCCTGTTGTTTCTGTTGCTGTTATAGAAGTTTTCTTTGTATTTGTTGATTTCCAAAGTTTTAGTTTCAATCTTTGTTTAGCTCTGTGATGGGCGCTGCTTGTGTCGAACAATAGTCTTTGTCTGTTTTGTCTTTGTTTGCCTTTATTTTCTTGTATGGTTTTTGTTCCTTTTATCTTAATAAAATGAGCTATGCCCCGGTTCTTCCCAAAAAAAAAAAGATGAAGGATCTGATTTTAATCCTTTTTGGAACTCGAGTACTTGACTAGACAAAATTTCACATTTGTTGAGATTACTTAGTGGCTTAAACCAGCTGTGGGTGAGATTAAGATTTTATTTGGAATGACTTTTTTACAACTTTCTAAAACAGCTTTTTATTTCAAAAATTTGAACTAAATTTATTTGTAAAAAAATTTCTAATTAAAAAAAAATACACTAAAAAATAGTTTAATAAAACAGTAAGAAAGTCATTTTAAATGAAATATTAGACTTCATTTGAGACAACTTTTTTATTATTTTTTAAATGATTTCCTAATTTAAAAATTAAAATTTTTATACTAAAAAACTGTCTTAAAAAGCAGTAAGAAAACCATCTCAAACAAAATCTTAACTTCATTTGGGATAACTTTCTTATTACTTCTTAAAACTATTTTTAATAAAAAAATTATTTTACAAAACAGAAAAAAAAAAAAAATCGCCCCAACTGAAACATAAATCTCAGTGATCTGATTTCTCAGAAATACACAACATAGCTTGAGTAATATACATGACACCCCTCAGCTTTCTTCAGAGACTAGAACATCGAGATTGAAAAGGTTTGTGGAGAAAGACGATGGCACTACAAATAGTTGTATTTTTGTTAGCTATGGCAACAATCTGAGAATTTTTTTTAAAAGTATTCGCAAATCTGACTTATTTTCAGTAGGTGAGACCTTCTAATGAGCTTCAAAGGGATCAAGACTAGTGCTCCTGAGTAGTTCTTCTGTTAAGAACTTCTATTTGTCTTAACGAGCTTCAGATACATAGCCAATGTGTGTGGGTGTGAATAAGTTCCATTGGGTGAGTTCATTAAAATTCTTGGGCGACTTGATGCTTGATGAGTATCAGAATGACCTGCTATTTTGCCATTTCTCGTCTCTCTCATTTGTTTCTTTCATTGCTCAGAATAGCATATTGTGTGTGATCTGGACGTGATCTATATTCATTACATCATATATAGGCTACAGTGCTACACAGCAGTAATACTGCAGTAATAGAGAGTTTGGGTGGTGAGAGCAGATTTGAGATGAGAAGATTTAGGCTTTGTTCGTTTGGGACGTCTTTCTTACTGCTTCTTAAAATAGCTTTTAACTATAAAAATTTTAAATTTTTTACTAAAAAGCTGTTTTAAAAAACAGTAAAGAAGCCGTCCCAAACGAAACCATAATTGTTACATAAATACATACACATCCTTATGTACATAAAATCATAAAAAAACTGAAAAATAATTTGAATTTCACCCCTACAAAACAGCTAAAAGTCTGCAAAAGGGGCATATGTTATGTTGGTTTGGAATTTAGGCTACCAACTAAGAGGTTTTGTGTTCATATTGTGTGTGTGAGTCTGCCTTAATTGGCCTAAATGTCTCCTTCTATTAAGGCAAATTCTTATAAAAGTCTCCTTCTATTAAGGCAGATTGAATTAGTAATATAAAAGTCTCCTTCTATTAATGCAAATTCTTATACTAAAGCTAAAACTACAGCATCAAATCATAAACAGATGACAGTCAAAATTTGCATTAAATTAGCAAAATTGGCACAAAAAAGAAATTCCATAGCAAATTATCCTCAATAGTATAAATTCAAATCTCAAGTCTCAAATTCATTGGTCTTAACCATAAACTAGTAATTATAGTTCACAAAAAGTACCTTGAAAAAAGATTGATGTGCAGAGCACGAATGAAATGCAAGCTCCTGCTAAATAAGTGTTTCTTGAGCCGAATCAAATCAATAACACCCACTTCACATGAGAACAAAGTTCCAGGCTGCTCCTAAGCTTTGATAGCATATTTCCTCAACGGAAAATACATCTCCTTTTTCTTCTGCCGTTCAGTCTTCAATGACGCCTGCCAGGAAGAAAATAAGTGTCAACAGAGGAGGCAGAGAGGATGATTAATCTTTGCTGTATTGTTCTCTTGAAGGTAGAAAGCATTTATAAATGATTACATGTATAGTACATGAAGAGATAATCTCTCTTAATAAGGCAAACACTCCATGCTAGTTTTGACCTTATACCAAATTTCCCAAGAAGAAATTGAGTTAGAACAATATCATCTTTCATCTCAAAGTTTGTTGCAAAATTTTTTTTCTAAAACACTTCATTCATTGCGATATTGTTCTAACTCAAAAAGGCCAATTCTAGGGACACAAGGCAAACACAACCATCTTGAACTTTTATGGTTGACCAAGGAATCTAGCATCAAAGAATTTGCTGATGGCGACTGCAGCAACAAGCAATTGTCTACGAGAACCACAAGTGGCCGCAATGCATAATTTGTAAATCAATAGATTTAAGTGATTTCTAAACGTAGATAAAAGAAAATTTGAGTAATTTAAATCACTCAAAATTTCATTTTGAGTTTATTTTGCTTCAAACCAAACACCAAAAACATGAATGCAAGAAAATGAAATAGAATATACTCCGAATTATTCCAATCGAATCACCCCTGAATCCAACGCATCAACTCCACATTTCAATATAGCTAATGCAGTCGACAACACCTTCTAAATTAATAAAATGATACCCCGAAATGGGAGATTAATTTTGGTAATATCACATGCCAATAAAGAATATTCATCATATAGGAATAATATATTTCGCCACAAAATAAGAAATTGGGATTATTATCTTACTTGGGAGGGAAACATAAGTTTTTTTTTTTCTTTAAATGAAATTTAGGATTTCAGCATGGGACATGAAGAATCACTTACTTTCAAGCCAATTCAAAAAAAATATATAACTTCAGTATAACATTGTTTTAAATGTGATTTTATCTGAGCGCATAGCTGTTTTTATACAAGTACCTAACTTCAAAAGTAATGATATGTACGCCAGAGCTTACAACAACAATACAACACCAACAACCAGTATAAATTTAATGGTTGTATATAAATCATTCCACATTAATCATAGAGCCTACATAACAACCAAGATTCAAGTATAAAAATCAAGCTCTCAACCATATAAAAAGCAAGTACCCATTGCAAATCAAACTAAGTGATAACAGTCTATGAAATGACACAACAAATAAAAGAGACAAGTAATTCTTCACTTTGAAAAATGAATTTGGACTAAATTTGGATACAATACAAATGAATTTGGTTTACATTCATATAACGAGAATTACGGCCGTGTAATTTAATGTAACAGTCGAGTTTTCATGAATATTTTACATTCTAAAAAGTGAAAATTCGTAGTTATAGTTTAAATAACCGTATAAGTAAGTTATTAGAAACGCTGTACAGATTAAAATTTGGAGAACATCAAAATTCAGACGATTCCGGATAAATAGGCATTCAAGCATCCGTGAAACATAAAATTTAATTCAATGTCTACTGTTCAGAACCTAATAGCCATTCTTCATAACCAACCTACAAGATTTACAGGTTTGTTAATGCATTGTAACAGCAAATATGATTTAAAAGTTGTATAGACAGAAAAAAACACCCTGATAAGTCAAAAACATTGCAATAGATCCTCAAGCACAATAAACACTTCCGGATATTAATGGCACCAATGAATCAAATAAAACTTAGGTAAAAAAAGAAACATGAACTGGGCTGGGGGTGAGGAATTATCTGAAATAATACAAAATTTGGACTGCAAATTCCAACCTGGTGTTTGGTAAGCTTGCGCCTTATCGCGCGGGTTTTCTTCGGCCTAAGATCAAGCGGGATGAACTTCTTCTTCCTGTAAGCCTCCCTCAGCGCCGCCTTCTGCTTCTGCGATATCACCGTCAGAACTTGGGCGATCGAAAGCCTCACCACTTTGCTGTCAGATTTCCCATATGTCACACAACATGGTCATAATGGATTATATTGTTGAAAAATATATGAAAAAGGACAGGAAAAACGCATGTTAGGCAACGGATTTACATCTTGGAGAGCTTGTTTGGGGCTCCACCAGTAACCTTGGCCACACGGAGAAGAGCAAGTTCTGCCTTCAGATCATTGAGCTGGTTCAAAAGCTCCGTCTTCGACTTCTGTCGCAGTTCGTGAACCTTAATCCTCGCTGCACAAATGAAAAAAATTCACTTACTAGTTCAAATTTCCAAAAACCGTAACTGAAATTGATGTGCCATTGTGATCTTACCCATTGCTCCGCCGCTGCCGTCGATGAACCGCGAGAAACCCTAGAAGCCGGATACTGGGGTATTTATATAGTGCCCTTGTGAAGCCCTCTGCTTGGCGATGGGCTCCAATCTCTCTTCTGGGCTAGACCCAAGAGCAGCCCAATGCACCAAGGCAGCTACTTTCATCCGATTTGTTTTGTTTAAAGATAAGAAAATATGCTTTTAATATAATAATTTTATTTTTCTAAATATTTAATGTATTTTTTTTTCAAAATAATAATAATAAATTTATGATTTCATGAATTTTTATGCATTTATTTATATGGTTCTTAAGTAGTATATATATATATATATCATATAATATTTGCACCGGATCATCAAAATTAAAAATGATCATTTTAAATTTATATTCATTTTAAGTTATATTATTATTAACATATTATATTTGAGAAAAATTAATGTAATGTGTAGAGTTGAAATTAATATCAATTTTTAATTAAATCTAAGTTTATAATGAATTTTATTGAGATGATAAAATTATTTATCTTGTAAGAACAAATCATGATACCATATTTGAATTTTGAGCAAAATGTAGTTTTTGAATAATTTTATGGTTTTACTTGTATTGATTAAAATTAGGTTTGCAAACTCTTTTTGTGTGATCAAGAATATCAAAATTAGGTTTACTTGTATTTATGGTTTTACTTGTATTGACCGTGAACATGGTAGTTTGGAATGATGTCAAGCTTCTCATGCAATAAGGAAGTCTATGTAGCCTCCTTTTTGTAAGAATGTTGAATATAAATATTCTCTACAGTCTATCACATCCATTGCAATATAAATCAATAACTAAACTAGGCTCAACACTTCCACCCTAGGTAACTCTATTATTATAAGAAAATAGCACCAGTGCATGCTTCAAGTCTAATCATCCTTAACTGACCCTTTAACCCATCATAGGCCACACCAAATAAGCCCATGTATTCTAGAATAACCCTCCATTGCCTTATCTAATCACACGTAGTTTTAAACAATAAATAAATAAATAAATTTTAATCCACCCTCGAATTCATGCAACATTAATTAGATAATTGCATATAACTTCCCCAAACTAGATCTAGTTTCGATGTATGCAAAATGTATCTTAAGTCCCGAGCTTAAACAAGCATTCTACTACCTTCCTAATATTACTTAGGAGGTGAAGAAGCTCCCAACCTAGTGGCCACCATCCTTTGGTATCCACCCTCCACCATGATGTTATGCATGTAAGATGAACCACTTTCATACGAATAGCTATACAAAACTTTATACGAGACTATATATATATATACTCATTCTTCTCTTCTAATGAAGAATTCGATTCAATGTTATTTTTACTAGTTGCAAGGCTTAGTACTCGAGACAAGTGTAGTAGGATGAGTGCAACTAGGGGTGTAATGAGTCAATACAAGCTCGAATTGCCCTCAGTTGGAGTTTGCACTCAATTCAATCTCGAGCTCGAGCTTAATTTACGAGTTTGAATTGGCTCTTTTATCATAAAAACGAGAAAATCATTATTCCTCATATTTATATTATAAAACATGATAAAAAGAATAAGAAATTAAATATGAAATAATTAAAAATCACTTGAAATAAGTAAGAGGAATATAACTTCTGTATCTCAAGCAAATGTACACTAAAATTATTAGATTTTTTAATATTTTAAATGTTTTAAAATTAATATTTTAAACAAGATGGCTCACTAGTATGCAAGTCAAGTCAGAGTTAGCTTAAACTTAGCTTGCTAGCACATCAAGCTCGGTTTATGAGCTATTTATTGAGTCAAGTCTGAGCTAGCTCATTGTCTGCTAGACTCAGGTACACAACTTAGCTTGATGGTGTTATTGAGTATCACTACTAAGTATTTGTAGGCAAATACAAATGTTGGGCATTGTATTCCAAATATTAGTATCTTGGTACTTCTAAGCATGTATAGGTGGGTGATTTGTTGTTGTGGATATATCTTCTTGAAATATTTTTATATCTTCTAGGCGACTTATAACTATTAACTCCTTTACTTTTTAAGTTGGTTTCTCATGAATGGCTCATTCGAAGAAGTTGACCAATATAATTGGGAGGGCTAAGCCAAACCAATAATTAATTGGCTTATCCTACTAATTCTACTTGATTTATGTTGCCATGGTATTCCTAGAAGGTACGAGATTATTTTTTAGCTTCACATAATCTAATATACATGCAATAACCTAAACATAGAGTGCATAATGCAATAATTCAAAATATCCACTACATTTACAAAAGAGAATGCATGGAAATTCGAACTCAAATTGCGACACAAAGCAAATAGTCATGTATTTAAAAACGAAAAATAAAAACTTTAGAACTTTGCATCACCAAGAAATATGATTTTGATCACGTAAACAAACTTAAGATATTTAAACACCAACATGTAATCATTTTTTCATGCTCCATCCCCTTCCAACTTTTTTAGTATATAGAATTGATGTTAAAGTTTTGATTTATGCATATTTGTGGTTACTTCAAATTTCTAAGTGTTTGGAATATACATTATTATGCACAACTTACTATGCTAGCATTTTAATTCTACAACTCATTATACTATGTGAGTCAGGCCATCGACTTTACCCATACTTGAAGTCTTAAGTCACCAAACACTTGAAGCTTACCTGAAATGGTTCATATGAGCTCATTCACTTAACAGTTTCGCCAATTATGCTATGCATCTACTTGGTTGACTTTTACAACTTTTTTTTTCGCACATTTTGATACTCAAATCCGAGAAATGACAAGTGCATTTATATCTTTAACAACTCCCATTTATAAAGACTATGTTCAAAAAATAAATTATTTAGCCTTTAAAAATAGATTATATGATTAAGAGGTTGATTTTATGAAAAGATGAAATTATTTTAACCAAATTATTATTTTTAATTTAAAATAAGCTTATAAAGAATTATTTATCATAAAATATGAGTTTATAAGAAGCTTATTTTTAAAATATAAAAAACCATTACTTTTTTTAATGATTTATATCCACGCATATTATTGCTTACACCGCATACATAGTTCATTCCTTCACATTAGTTTCCTATTCTAGATGAATTTACAGTTCATATGGAACGCCGGGCATAGCCGCTTAACTCTCTTGTTATTTGTCCCACATCGTTTACACGTTTATTTGGTTGTCGATTACATGGTATAAAAGACACGAAGCAATGTAAAGCAACTCATACCTTTCTCGGCCTTTTGGCTAAGATCAAGTGTAGTATCTGTTCTTATCAGTTTAATATCTGATACGTGGGCCATTGGCCCACTATGATATTAAATTAATTTTTGTTGGGGGAGGGCCCATTACGGCAGCTTGCTGCTGGGGTCTTCGGGCGTCGCCTTTGCGTGGCACTAAAGCCAAGGCAGGCGCACCCCTATCAAAACAAACCAAAATTTTAGTGTTTTTCTAGTCTTTAGTTTGATTATTGGAAGGGTATTATTGGTAAGCAAAAGGAAGTTCTTTCTGATTATTTTTTCTATTTGATCTAAAAGTATGTGATGGTTTAATAGTATATAATTTTTTACCTGTTGAGAATTTTATTAGGAAAAGTATAATCAAAATAATCCTTTCAATGGAATGGCTAATTCATTTGCGGCGGTAGATAAATACTTGAGAAGAGAAACCATGGGGCTTTATCTGGATGAGAAGTTTCAACTTAGTTTGAGTAGGTTAAATTCTCCATTAACTTGGAAATGGTGAAATTACAATAATTTGGAGTATCGGTTAAACTTTGTATGGGTACTTAGAAGTTTGTAATGATCGTGGTCAGATGACAGGGTAGTGGTCGATGGTAGGAAGGAGGTTCGACAGCGGTGGACATTCGAGAAGTTCTAGTAGCAGTTAGTGGCTGGGCGGGTCTGGCGACTGGGAGGAGGTATGGTGACGGTCAGTGGTCGAGCGAAGGTACGACTGCAGTCAACGAACGCGCATAGCTTTAGGATGCATGAAACTTTAGAGCTCTCTCTAATCTCTAACCAAATGTCCCCTTCATGTTGGTAGTAAGGGCCTATTTATTTATTTTTGTAACTGACATGCTCTATAAATATGGAAAAGATCGGAAGCAATTTTTGGAGTGATCCATCAGAAAACTCATACTAATTCCCTTGATCATGAAACATTCATTCAACATTTACGTGTCTAAATGATGTTAGAATTAAGTGATCTTGTGCTTGTTGATTAGTCTCGTCGAGTTGTTTGATTCAATTATAAGCATGTTATATTTGAATATCATTTGATCATCTTATTAATATTCAAAAACTTCAAAATATGTTTTAAGCCATTGATTTGGATCAATTTGGACTCAAAATGAACTGATCTTAGGCTTCGTATGGGACGACTTTTTTATTTCTTCTTAAAGTGACTTTTTATTATAAAAAATTTATTTATTGTTCTAGAAAGCTGCTTTAAGAAGCATTAAGAAAACCGTCCCAAATGAAACCTTAGTGTCGTTGGCCTCTTCTCGTCAAGACATTTAGTTTGACTATAAGCTTTCTGAAATCAAAATTTAGATGGTCTCAAATTTTGAAAGTTTTCAATTCATACTTCCATCAAGATTTGTATCCGATCAAAACAATTTTTTGTGATATATCAAACATAAAAATACTAAAAAAAGTCTTAATTGTGTTAACAAAAACTAGGATTTAATGCTCAAAAGCATAATTAATTTTTCTTGAGCATTTGAGGCACCAAATGATCATATATAAATTTTACATATTTCGATTTATGATTAAAAATATTTAAAAAATATCCCATCAGAAAATTTGTAAACTACCTTGGTTCTATATAAGAAGCCTGAAGGCCGAAGAAGGATTCAAGAAGTTCTGCTCGCCAATACTGCAGCCCCCATTGATCACCGCCAGCGCACATCACCTTAACAGGCTAGATTGTGTGAATCAATAATCAAATTAAGTATTTTGACTACACAAATCTAACAACACCCATAATGATATGATCAAAGTCCAAATAAACACAAATCAAGCATTTGAAGTAAAGTTAAAAACTTTGGAATAATGATTGAAGGATCATACATTATCTAAATTTTACATGCTTATTTCGTATTGAGCGAATTGATGCGATGAATCAAATAAGCTTGAGATCACTCAATTT